GCCATCATGTTCAAATTCGTTTGATTTGTCCCGGAAGTAATCTGAAACATAATATATGACTTAATAACATGGAAGATAATATATTAGTTAATAACATGAAGGTAATATATCAGTTAATAACGGTATCTACTAAATTAAGAAGTTTTTATATACGTGATGCACGTGTCCTTGTTGGTGGTACGTAAATCACAACAGCACTTGCTATGTGTTGCGTAACAGTACCTAAAAATGATGTCCCTTACTTCATCCGTAAGTTGTAAACTTTTGTGGGAGTTTTTAACCTTCCATTCGTTCCAACAGTACCTGGTAATTGTAATGGTTTTGTTTTGGTGCCAAAATGACCGGGGATAATGACATACTTTTAGCGAGACCTTAACATTCGACGATTGCCGAAGAGGCAAACATATATTTCCAGGAATTTAAAAATCAACAATTAAATCATGGTTTTCGCTATTTCCCGGGGTTTGCGTGACAATCTCCCGGTGCATTATACTTTTAACCATGTCATCCGAGTAATTTATACAAACTTGCAAACATTAATGAAATCAAAATAAGCAATGTATATGTGTCCTTGACTGGTATATGCCTATTAGAATAGCAATATATGCATGGTAACTGGCAATTTCTATATCATAATAATTTTTATGCGGACATGAGTTTTCTCTTTTGACATTTGACCTTCAAGTGCATGAAATCTGTTTTTCTGGACCAAAGAAATGATAATATCCGGAAATGCAAAACCAGACTTAATGGAATACACCAAAACAATTCATTTGATACTTCCTTTGTTGTTATGAAAGCAATGGCATTAGTGACCGTTTGAGTTACACATAGATCAATCTACATATAAAAGCTGGTAATCTCTAGCGTTATCAAGGAGATGGTTTTTAGCAGATAAGTTGGGGCATATTTGTAGAGCAGCTAGAATACACTCCCCTCGCCGCTTTGAGTTCGAATTTCGTAAGGAATGTTGAGTTTACCATATGACCTTTGCAGCGTCGATATGACTTCAAACGCATAAAAAAACAACAATGCATTTGCAAATATCTAAAAGTTAACTTAATTTGTAAAACATAGTAAGTCACGTACATGTTCCTTTATCGTTTACTGCCCAGCCACGGACACAGCTGGTTCCTCCTGTAATATCACTGGTACTTCCGCTAGTAGTATCGTCCTTGTGAACATCCGCGTTGCGTTAAAACTATCTTCACCACAGGTAGATGGTGAGTCCTGGGAGTTACATTTGTAGCACTTCAGCCTGCCACAACCAGTTACAACTGAAAATATAAAGACAATATTGTAAACCCTCATTTTACGTACGTCAGTTATAAATCCCCTTCCGTGTAGCAGGAAGGGGTTTATAGGAACGGCCTCCTTCTGTCAGTCCGTCTGTCAGTCTGTCCGTCCGTCCGTCCGTCCGCACTCACAGGAGAGTAATTATGTGGCTAGAGGGACAATAGGTAACTGTTCTTTCTCTTTGATGTCATTCATTCCGTAATGCTTTTATGTGGCTATTTTCTTTTGTGTGGCTAAAAAAAACAATAGAGAGAACAATAGAGTAGCCACATAATTACTGTCCTGTGAGAACTTCCGTCTGTCCGTCCGTTTGTCCGTCGGTAACACTTTCGTGTCCGCTCCATACCTTATAAACCGCTGACTTTTTTTTAAAAATAATTTGGCACAAGTGATCACCATAATGAGTCGATGTGTCAAGCGCAATAATTAGGTTGCTACCCCCAAGGTCAAGGTCACAATTAAAGGTCGAATTAATGTTAAAAAGTCTTCATTTCGTAATAAAAAGTCTACATTCTATCTACAAAGAATTACTTGTTGTGGCTGAATTAAAAACATATAATTTGTTGCTAATTTTACTTTTTAAATCGTACTGATTATCAAAGTTTCAAATTTAAATGACATTGTCTTTGGTAATATAATAAAACCACCAACAGAAGCTATTTAATAGCAATATGCATCCAGATTCAAGCTAATTTTCATGAAAATTTTGAAATGTATTAAAAATTAAAATATTATGAAGTGAACTACATATTGCAAATAGCACTTAAAAATCAGGTAAACACCCAAAATGCGTTAAAATATGCAAAAATTACCCTTACTGCGTTAGTCATGCAGTAGAAATGTGGTGAATAAATACTGCAAAATCAGTCGCGCATAACATGTAAATTATTTCTTGAATCTTGGATCATTTTATTTTTTATTAAATTTTTCGTACATTTTCCCACAAATTTCATTTCCTTGAAAAAATTTTGCTCATCTGGAGGCATGCAACTTTAAGATACATAGCATACATAAATATAAGTTGCACAAAAATATATAAAATACTTTTTTACAGCTCACCAGATGAAATAAAATTTCATCTTACACATAAGCAAACAAATGTCCTCTGTAAAACATTAACAATTTAATATAGATTTTTTTCTAATATTTATGATTTCATGTCCATTGTCTTAATAAAACGTGAGCGTATAACATAAAAGTTTTAACTTAAAATATCTTTAAGATCCTGTAACTCAAATTTTTATATGGTTTTATATCATAAATATGATGCTCAAATGAAGGTTTTTATATTGTAAGTTCCAAAAAGCTTTATTTGTAAAGATATCATGGAATTTGCATTTAATGTAAATATTAATGGAGGTAAATTAGAAAATTTATTTTGGATAAAGTCTCAATAAGAAACTACAAATAAACTAAAGAAATTAATTACTTTGTGAACAAAAAAATAACTAATGTGAAATTCCGTTGTTGTGAGGTATTGCAAATGAGATTCATGTTTTAAAAATGTCTCAGAAACCTTCCTTGCAGCAAATTCAAAATGGCGACTTGTTTTCAATAAAAAAAAGCAAATTCATAATGGCCGAGCTGGGGAGCCGATCAAATTCTCAAATCTAATAATAGCAAATCACAGAGCTGCAACTTTAGGACGATCATGCCGATCAAGCCACGTTCTGAAAAAGTATTGGATTGGGGCCGATCGGTGTCGAAATCGAGCAATTTGGCAAATTTTGGTCACAGATTGAAATTGTACAGATTGTTAACAGGCGGAGCTGCAAATGATCGTCAAGTAAAGTGCCGCCCTATATATGTAGTTGGCAGATTATGACTGGTCAAATAGCAGCGCTATAAGAACAAACTGCTTATTTCTGGCTATAGACTTTAGATTTTGGAATAATTAATTTCCAAGAAATACTATGCAGAAGCTTTATCCACAGTATGCGAATACTCATTGGAAATTGAAGAAGTTACAACATACATGTACAAGTCATAAGTCTCTTTTCTTTGAAACGCAAAAGGGTCTTAGTTTTGGTCATAAGACTGATTTCAGAAATAAGACTTTTTATAAAAGGAAACTTGAAGTGTTACAATCGAATTAGGGGCGTCCGTGGCAGAGTTGTTAAGGTCGATGACTTCAAACCACTATCCCCTCACCGCTGTGGGTTTGAATCCCCGACAGGCACTTTTGATGATTTCATTTGAGGATGCTATTCAGTTTATGGAACGTCGGTGGTTCTACTGTGCCCTTAAATCCGTGCCTGAAATAATGCACGGAAGGGCACCTAGGTTCTTCCTGCACCAGTAAAGCTGAATCTAGCTAACGTCGCCATATGACCAATAAACAATTTAATCAAATTATATTGCAAAAAATAAAATCGCTTCAAGTACTTTGATCCTGTCTGCTCATTTGTGTAGAACTGTAGTTAATTAAACCTGTTTTAGTTTATTTGAGTTGTCAACTTAATGCTAATTAGTTAGATATATGTCTGTACTGAACAATATATTGAGTAGTTCATTCATTGCCATACTTGACGTAAATAAATGCATTTAATATATTCCATAAATTAATTGAAGTAATAACAAAATTAAAATTCCATGTTATGTATTTGTTGATTTTGGTATTTTAACAAATCATATACACTTACTTTATAGTATTTCATTTATTTGGAAATGAATTGCTTACATTAATGAAGTAATCAGTCAATTAATACTAACTGAATTAAATGGTATAAGGATAAAATTGAAAAATAAAACAACAGTTGTTTGATTTTGTTACCGGTATTTAATTATGCAAAAGTCAATAGAATGAATAAATTAACATATAATTATAAGCAAATGTATCAATTTAACATGCATAGATGAGTTTTAATATGGCCACACTATTATAACAAAAACAACAATATAAACAGACTTCTACCTTGCTTCGTCGGGCCTTTGGAGATGATTTTTAGTTGCAGACATTGAGTACTTTTGTTATGGTCAATGTTTTTTATATGTTTCTACATGATCATTTCGGTGTTTTACTTATTTCACCTTTTGTAGCCATAACAACTGTTAGAAATTCACTTGACGGGGATTCATTTTATTTACACTGGCTCGTTAATATGAACATGGTGGGGCTAAGAGTGAGGTTTGGTGCACCACTAACCGGTTTAAACTCTCCAGCAGTACTAATGTTGCTGACCGTTCCAAGGCTGCACCATCTGTGTCACTTATATGTATGTCTTTGTTGGTTCATACTGGTTTGGTGACACTTGTTTGTGGCCCTTGTTTGCCCCTAATTTTATTTCTTTAATTTAAATGCTGGGTCATGTGGGGGTTGCGTTCACTGAACACCGCCTGTCCTTTATTATTATTATGATATATTAACTGGTATATTGACTGGTACTTTTTGTAAGTTCATACATGAAATAGAAATTCAGACTGCGTATATCAATTCTGGACATAAGGATATCACAAAAAAAAAACCCAGATAAATACCACAAACTACATCCTGCTCGACCTCCAACCCCCGCCCCCCTTTTATGTTTAGTGAATACTGTCATTATAGAGCGACATTTATAATCGAAAACAAAATACCACAAACTATATCCTGCTCGATTCTCCTGAATCAAATCTCATTTGCCAAGCGTTTCAAATCTTAATTTCCCTAGAGATTAACAGTATAATTAATGATGATACTCTTCGTCATATCAACAAATACGGTAGAATGTTTATTCAATATTTAATTATATTCCTGAAACTCTACAACATTAGCACATTATATGTTTTTCTAATGTACACATGAAGAATTAGAAATAGTAAGACTTTTAGTTGTTGAAACATTAAATACATAATGAATATATCAAGAATTCATTATGATACTTTAAATCATGATCATAGAACATTTTTAATGATATTCGCCATTTTCATTTGGTCAAATTATGGTGTTTAAGACGTGCGCAGTTGTTAGACAAAAACGGATAACTAATTAATTGGTCGTGTGCTACACGAAAATCTTTTTGACTAGCACATTTCCGAGTAAAGAGAAGACGAGAGTTGTTGTAACAGTTGTCGCCATGAAAACCGGTCTTGAGGCTTTAGAATTACACAAGTCGCTGCTACAGAAACATTTCTGAGGCGTGTCACAGCCATCATGCTCAAATTCGTTTGATTTGTCCCGGAAGTAATCTGAAACATAATATATTAGTTAATAACATGTGCAGTTAATAACATGAAAGATAATATATTAGTTAATAACATGAAAGGTAATATATCAGTTAATAACGGTATCTACTAAATTAAGAAGTTCTTATATACGTGATGCACGTGTCCTTGTTGGTGGTACGTAACTCACAATTGCACTTGCTATATGTGATGCGTAACAGTACCTAAAAATGATGTCCCTTACTTCATCCGGGAGTTGTAAACTTTTGTGGGAGTTTTTAACCTTCCATTCGTTCCAACAGTATCTGGTAGTTGTAACGGTTTTGTTTTGGTGCAAAAATGACCGGGGATAATGGCATGCTTTTACCAAGAGCTTAACATTCGACGATTGCCGAAAAGGCAAACATTTATTTCCAGGAATTCAAAAATCAACAATTAAAGAATGGTTTTCGCTATTCCCCGGGGTTTGCGTGACAATCTCCCGGTGCATTATACTTTTAACCATGTCATCCGAGTAAATTATACAAACTTGCAAACATTAATGAAATCAAAACAAGCAATGTATATGTGTCCTTGACCGGTATATGCCTTTTAGAAATAGCGATATATGCATGGTAACTGGCAATTTCTATATCATAATAATTTTTATGCGGACATGAGTTTTCTCTTTTGACATTTGACCTTCAAGTGCATGAAATTTGTTTTTCTGAACCAAAGAAATGATAATATTCGGAAATGCAAAACCAGACTTAATGGAATACACCAAACAATTCATTTGATACTTCCTTTGTTGTTATGAAAGCAATGGCATTAGTGACCGTTTGATTTACACATAGATCGATCTACATATAAAAGCTGGTAATCTCTAGCGTTATCAAGGAGATGGTTTTTAGCAGATAAGTTGGGGCATATTTGGTAGAGCAGCTAGAATACACTCCCCTTGCCGCTTTGAGTTCGAATTTCGTAAGGAATGTTGAGTTTACCATATAACCTTTGCAATCAAACACATTAAAAAAACAACAATGCATTTGCAAATATCTAAAAGTTAACTTAATTTGTAAAACATAGTAAGTCACGTACATGTTCCTTTATCGTTTACTGCCCAGCCACGGACACAGCTGGTTCCTCCTGTATAATCAAGGGTACTTCCGCTAGTAGTATCGTCCTTGTGAACATCCGCGTTAAAATTATCTTCACCGCAGGTAGATGGTGAGTCCTGGGAGTTACATTTGTAGCATTTCAGCCGGCCACAACCAGTTACAACTGAAAATATTGTAAACCCTCATTTTACGTACGTCAGTTATAAATCCCCTTCCGCGTAGCCTCCTTCTGTCAGTCCGTCTGTCCGTCCGTTTGTCCGTCGGTAACACTTTCGTGTCCGCTCCATACTCTATAAACCGCTGAATTTTTTTTTATAACTTGGCACAAGTGATCACCATAATGAGACGATGTGTAAAGCGCAAAAATTAGGTTGCTACCCCCAAGGTCAATGTCACAATTAAAGGTCAAATGTTAAAATGTCTTCATTTCGTAATAAAAAGTCTACATTTCGTGTCCGCTCCATAACTTTTAAACCGCTGAATTTTTTTTAATTACTTGGCACAATTGATCACCATAATTGGACGATGTGCAGAGCGCTATAATTGGGTTGCCATCACCAAGGTCAAGGTCACACTTCAAGGTCAAATGTTAAAAAGTCTTCATTTCATAATAAAATGTCTGCATTTCGTGTCCGCTCCATAACTTCTTAACCGCTGAAATTTTAAAAAGATTACTCGGCACAATTGATCACCATTATAAGAACATGTGCAGAGCGCAATAATTGGGTTGCTACCCCCAAAGTCAAGGTCACACTTAAAGGTCAAATGTATAAAAGTCTACATTGCATGTCCCCTCCATAACTTTTAAACGTCTGATTTTTTTAAATAACTTGGCACAAACGATTACTATTATGAGATGATGTGCAGAGCGCAATAATTGAATTGCTACCCCCTAAGGTCAATATCACACTTACAGGTCAAATGTTAGAAATTCTACATTTTGTGTCTGTCCCTAACATTTAAACCCCTGCAACGTTTTTCAGAGAACTTTGCAGAAATAATCACAATTATGACACCATTGGCAGAGCATAAAAGTCAAGTCAAAACCTTGAAGGTCAGGGTCTCACTCAAAAGTCCAATGTAAAGACATCTATTTTTTCATGTCCTCTCTATAACTTATTGACAATTCAAAGGTTTTAAAATATATTGGCACAAAGGAACCCACCTCGACAAAATCTGGAGAGCTCAACAACCAGGTTGCTACACCTAAGGTCAATGTTATATGTTCTCCATAACTTTTTGACTTTATGGAAGATTTTAAATAACCTGGCACAAATAAGCACCATCGTGATATTATTTTCTTATGTTATGCATGACACAATATCAAGGTCATGGTTGGTAATAGGCCAAGAAGTACACATTCATGTTCACTGCGGAAGGGGATTTGACTGCCTTGTTTTAAATTATATCGACCCTTGAGGGAATGTTTTCTTTATACCGATGAAAAACGTTCCAGTGAGTGTTTCGATAATGAAATTGATGTAGTTATTGTGTTAGAGGATGGCTTTCCATTAGAAAAAAGACCAATTTAATGACAGCAGAGTAAGAGCTTTCCAGTATGATGGCTAGTTTGGCGGATAAACCATATATAAACCAGTATACAAAGGGGTCTTTATGGCCAAAACGTTATGGTTGTTATTTTCAAATTACCTGGCCATCAACGCTTTGGGTTCAAATCCCACCTGAGGTTTTTAGTCATGTTACAAAACTATGTGGCAATGTAACAGAATTTTGGTGGTTCTTCTTTGATACGCCAACAGGCCTGGTATAAAAGATAAAAAAAAACTTATTATGTCAGCAAAACAGCTGCCTGGAAAATCGCCATTTGACACTGACACTGTTGCTTTGTAAAGCATTAATAATTGTTATTATGTAAGAAATTAACCAAGTAGTAATATGTGAATCAAGTTATAAAATATAGTTTGAGCCTGCTTTTATATACAGAGATCTATCCATTTTAGTGTAATAGTGTCCCAATATGGGACAGCTAAACATAACTTTACGCGATACACGTGTCTTTTAAACAAAAAGACAATTTTTCTACTTCATTTAGAATCTCTGTAATTAAAAAAACATAATAATTTTCCCAAGAATTTGCTCAATTGTTATCTACATTCATGCAAAAATTCTTCATCATACCGGTAACTGAAGTCATTTTCTCTTTTAATGGTCATGCATTTATCTTATGTTGCTATACTGAGAATTCTGATGACTATATTTAATGAAATCACATAACACAGATGACAATCAAAAGTCTAATTAAGGGAAAAAACAATTAAAAACTTTACAATATACTTGCCTTGTGTGAAGTTTGAGGCGGTTTAACAATTAAATAATTAAAGTAAACTATGCTAAATATGTTCTTACCTTCAACATATATCGACATCAAAACAACACTCATCAATACTTTGGTTAAATCCATTTTGTAGTATATTCACTAACTGAACCTATGAAGTGTGGTAAATATATAAACCAGCTTTTCTCTCTATATATAATAAGTATGTATCCATTTAAAATACAGGTAAACCTCGTATACTATAAAACAACATAGCAATGATATTTTTCGTTATGTGCCTAACGATGCATTTAACATATAATGGTACAGTTAGGTGAGACTCATTACCAAAAGCATCATTGAGCGGTCAAGCTGTATTTATAGGTATTGTAAAATATAAGTAAAGGTGGATCTGTTTTCTACGGTTATTTTCGCACAGTGACTTTTGTAAATTTTATATAATATTTAAAGAATGTAAAAAGCCTTCAAGCTTTCTATGTTTTGTTTTGATTTTAAGTTCAAAAGTTTACAAGTTAAATGTTGATGCTGCAAATCAAAGACGCCGCCAAATGATGTGAACAGTCAATCAGCATTGAAAATCGTTCTCTATTACAGTTGAAAATCCGAAACACAAATCAATTTTTTCTCCATGTTCTTGGTATGTGCTCGTTGTTTAATAATAAAGTTGCATATTTTTTGAAAAAGTAGAACCTAATCCTAAATTCACAAAATAATGCAAGGTCTGAAATTCTTAAAGGTTTGTCTGTTGTGACAAAGACTGAAACGTCAGGTCATAATTAATTGGATAACAAATAAAATTGAAATGATTTGTATACTTAAAGTAAATTTAAGACAATATGTGCCGAGAATATACCAATTTAAAATGGTACGAATTGCATAATGTTCGAATGCTTTTGAGAACAAACTTTTCTGCAGTGATCTCCCCTTACAGGCCGTAGCGTAACCGGTTTGTTGGTTGAGCTGATAGTGGGCGTGGTTTAGGCTTTGTAACTTGTATTTTAATGATATATCTCAACGGCAAATTTTAGAACGATCGACTATAGTCTAGCTCATTGGCACGTTATTTATTATGTAGATAAAATTAGATAATGATAAAAAGAATATGATATTCAAATATGGCACTATCACTTCAGTTGAACGTGTATTATAATCCCTTAAAGCTCTGTGACATCAGGGTCTTTCAGGGTTCTTTTTGAAAGAACCCTGAAAGACCCTGGTGACATGTTGTACATCATTAAAGCTATTTTTATTAGAAAATTTAAAAAAAACAGTGAGATTTTGTTAAAACAAAATAAATACACAAAATCATGTCTAAAATGTTCCCCATTGCTGTATGGACAAATGCATATCTGCTATACGCCGCTTGCAAGCGGCGTCTAATAAACATCTATAGGTGAACATATTTGTTAATTGCAAAACGCATGGTACTAAAGAATGATTTATCGGCTGTTGAATTTTACACACAACACAAAGTATTCCGATGTACTTATGCTGACAGACTCGTCATAAAATGAGTTAGTCTTCCATCAAATTTGCCATCCGATTTGAAGGTCAATTTAAAATATCAATATTAATTTACCTTTATGATTTATTCAATTAATTTCAATCATTTTATTGCATTAAGCATTTTATAATGCTTAAGGCATGCATATAAAGAAAGCCTTTTCACGAAGGCTTCGTCTTGTCATGGTTTTAATAAAATTGTAGGTTCGAGACATTAATCATGTTTTCCTGCGATAGTTATTGTCATTGGAAACGTTTAGATAATGTACTGCTTTGCGAATGCTTAACTATTTATTGTGTTAGTTTGTTTGTTTCCCCTTTTTTCTTTACAAAGAAACTGACTTGCATACTGTAACGTACATGTATTTCAAATACCAAAATTTTAATGAATTCTTCGATCCATCGGATTGTAAAACAATCTACATTATGCTAAATTTTCCCTTTTCTAAAAATATACGCCTTTTAATAAATTCATTTATTTATTCAATTGTGTTTACGACTTTAGTTAATATTTATTTCAAAATATTGATAGGAAAGTGGAGACTTCCGTTTAAAATGGACCTGTATTCCGGTGTTTCGAGTATTCTGTTTACCGTTTCAAACCAAATATGTATAGTTTGTTTGTTTGTTTTGGGTTTTACGTCACATCGAAACAGTATAGGTCATATCGCGACGTTCCAGCTTTACTGGTGGAGGAAGACCTCGGGTGCCCTTTCGTGCATTATTTCAGGCACGAACGCGCACCTGAGTAGAACCACCGACGTTCCGTAAGCTAGCTGGATAGCTACTTCACTTATATTTGAACAAACTCTGCTTCATTTTTGTTATTTAAATGTTTATACAATAAATATAAGCTTATATATATAAGAGATAGATATAGTAACTTAAACTAGTATTTAAATGTTTGAAATTATTTTTGTCCAATAGAATTGCACTATGGACTTTTTAAACTTTGCTAAATCAGAAGTTCATAAACGCTGTACATAAATAACTTATTGTACTATTATCGAATTGCATTCGTGACAGAAGAGTGTTTTATATAGTTTTGAATTAATTAAATAAATTCCTTACACCATTCAAAGCCTTTTTCACACTGTCAATATACCGATCAATGCTTCATTCGATGTTAAATATAGGAATTACGCAAATCTGTAGATACTTGCGTGTCATTTTTCATATATTTAAAAAGCATCTACTGTAGTAATCTATCCATGAAGAAGATAGATCTATATTATATTATTTTGAAGAAAAAAAAATGTTTTGGTAATTCTAACGATGCTCATCTTTTTATGTATTAAATTCAGGAAGTCTAGGGCATTTTGTTTTTTACATTAAATGGTCAATGGACACTGCAATAACAACGTTTAAACGTTAACGTAGCCTTGTCTTTGGATGTTCGCTGTTTTCTAACTTATCTATTGAAAGTACATGTACATATCAAAAAGGCGACATTATGTTTTTCAGATCATATGAGCAGTTATATTCTAACTGCGAATGTTAGAGTAATAGGCACTCACAGGGAAACATGTTCTGTGTTGTTACATTACATTGGGTGCATCAGCTGATTTCTTAGCATGTCCTTTCATGAGAAGAAGCTATAGGTAATCGACATTTAAATAGTATTTCCAACCAGGAACCTGTCCTGTCTATATAAATAGCAACATACCAAAGGGCACATGACTGGAAAAGTCGCCATATGGCCTCACTTCTAAGGATGTGACTTAAAACCAAACAAGAAATTGACAGACTACATTCACAACGTTCAGCTCAGAAGTAATAACTTTGACGTCACTTGTTGATGTTGCCATCATTTTAGATGTCAACAATCTTTGTTTTACATTCAGCAAATGATTTGTATTTCAACTCACCTATTTATAACAGTATTGCAAGTTAATTTTAGTCCTCTCGTAGTTGTTTCCCTTTGTTATATACTTTCTAAATCGACTCTTTATTTTGTTAAAGCTGAGCAAAACAAGTCTAGAAGACTTCAATTATTCTCATATATCATAAGCCTGGGACTAAAAAAGACTTATAAAATACGTTTGCGTGACTCTTAGTGGTACAAACACGAAATTCCTTCATTTATTTCAAACTTGAGATATTTTGAACAAACCAAACAACGCCACAATGATGTTCACGCATTTTCCCGAGGCAGTCCTTAATAACCCGCTCAAAACATTTTATGAAATGGGGAAACGAAATGGGGAAACAAGTCCAAAATTACCTGAAAGTATCTCCGGTCAATGGTCAGTAAGTCTTTAGCAATGACTTTGTCATTACATTTTATTTATCAAATAAGCTTCTATTAAACAAAATGCAAAATAAACCGTTCCGTTTAATTTTCTGTAAATACACAGCATATGGGTTTTAAATAATCACAGTCATGTAACTCAAGAAGCACTGTGCTCAATTTATATATTCGGAAAAGGTATCGCCACAATCGATGACTTTTTACTGTCATCAAAGCTTTTTGATCGTTACTTTAAATGTATTTATAAAACATTTATTGCACATTGAACTTTCAACTTAAGGCGTGGACAGTGCACGGTTCAATTCCTGCCTCATTTACAGGCGTACTTCACAAAGAAGTAAATATTCGGTATTCTCAACAAACGCTTTTTGCTCATTATCCAATATGGGAATTACCTCGATGACAACAGAAAGACGTATGTTGCCTGATTGGCTATGTTTCCGAGAACAAAATATTTTTAAGAGATATTCTGAAACCACCGACAATAAAAGCATTTGATATTTTAATATATTCCATTAATTAATGAAATAAACAAAATTAAAATTCCATGTTATTTGTGGTTTTTGGTATTTTAGCAAATCATATACATGTACAATTATTGTATAGTACGGAGTGTAGGCCTATGTTATTTATTTGAAAGTGAATTGCTTACATATCAGTCAATTAACACTATTTGAAATGTATGCTCTAATGATAAAGTTGAAGAAAAAACAACAACAACAATACATAGTTTTATTTGTTATTCAATAATGCAAAGGTCAAAAGAATGAATAAATTTACATATAATTACGAGTATTAAAAACAGATATACAATGCATATATGTAATAGAAAGAGCATCGAATTACGAGGCTATCTGATTTGTACGAGGTGCGTAGCCCCCGAATATTAATCAGATTGCCGAGTGTTTTGATGTTCTCATAGTCAACATAAAAACAAGTTCCCTGTTGTCACAATATGAAACCCCAGCAAAAAGTAACAAATGCACGAGCATCTGAATATGATATTTCTATCGCTTTCCCTTTCTCTGCCGTCACAATAAGTAAACCCCAGCAAACATTAGCCAATCAAAGGGCATGCTCTGGAGTGCGGGTAAGTAATACCTGCACTCCAGTTAACGCACTGTGCATGTATACGATTTAACTCTGGCACATTTTCAACAGAAAGGTCCCCAAACTATGATAAAATATATTTACTGGTATTGTGAGTGGTAGTTTTGTAAGTTCATACATTAAATAGAAATGCAGACAGCGTACATCAATTCTAGACATGAAGATATTATAACAGTATTTTTACGAGGGATGATATTTCTATTGTTACTCACAAATCCATGTGTAATTTATTTTATTACCCCGAACAAGAACTGTGATGATCCTTGTATACATTGCTTACAGATTTATAACTTCCCACAATCGTTCGAAAAACGATTTTGCTGAACAACATCCGCAGTCGGATAAAACCGACATAAAAAGTAATTCCTCATTCTGCAGTATATCTTAAATTCCGATAACTTATGATTATCTATTCAAAGCTTTATTTCCCTGAACATTAAAAGTAAACTTACAGGTATATTTATTAATATGTATATTAATTCTTTTCCTTTAATACCAGCCTTTCGTTCGTTTTTGTTGTTGTTTCTGTGTTTTACATGTGTACGAATCAGAAAGAGTAAGATTTTCTGTCGTTGTTGAAACGTTTTAACGACGTCATGAATCCATCATGATCATCGAACATTTTCCGCCATTTTGTTTGGTCAGATTATGGTGCATAAGATGTGCGCAGTTGTCAGTCTAGCGCCATACGACAAAAAAACCGGATAACTAATAGATTGGTCATGTGATGATTAAATGAAATGATACTCAGTTCTTATCATAAGCTACATGAAAATCTTTTGGATAAACACACTTCCGAGTAAAGAGCAGACGAGAGTTGTTGTAACAGTCGTCGCCGCGGAAACCGGTCTTGAGGCTTTAGAATTGCACAAATCGCTGCTACAGAAACATTTCTGTGGCGTCTCGCAGCCATCATGTTCAAATTCGTTTGATTTGTCCCGGAAGTAATCTGAAACATAATATATGACTTAATAACATGGAAGATAATATATTAATAAATAACGTGAAAGGTAATATATCAATTAATAACGGTATCTACAAAATTAAGAAGTTTTGATATACGTTATCCTTGTTGGTAGAACGTAACTCACACCAGCACTTGCTATGTGTTGTGTAACAGTACCTAAAATGATGTCACTTTCTTCATCCGTGAGTTGTAAACTTTTGTGGGAGTTTTTAACCTTTTCATTTGTTCCAACAGTACCTGGTAATTGTAATGGTTTTGTTTTGGTGCCAAAATGACCGGAGATAATGACATGCTTTTAGCGAGACCTTAACATTTGACGACTGCCGAAGAGGCAAACATATATTTTCAGGGATTTTGAAAATCAACAAGTCATGGTTTTCGCTATTCCCCGGGGTTTGTGTGATAATCACCCGGTGCATTATACTTTTATCAATGTCATCCGAGTAAATTACACAAACTTGCAAACATTAATGAAATCAAAATAAGCCTTGACATGAATAGCAATATATGCATGGTACTGGCAATTTCTAATCATAATAATTTTAATGCGGACATGAGTTTTCTCTTTTGACATTGACCTTCAAGTGCATGAAATCTGTTTTTTCTGTACCAAAGAAATGATAATATCCGGAAATGCAAAACCAGACTTAATGGAATACACCAAAACAATTCATTTGATACTTCCTTTGTTGTTATGAAAGCAATGGCATTAGTGACCGTTTGATTTACACATAGATCGATCTACATATAAAAGCTGGTAATCTCTAGCGTTATCAAGGAGATGGTTTTTAGCAGATAAGTTGGGGCATATTTGGTAGAGCAGCTAGAATACACTCCCCTCGCCGCTTTGAGTTCGAATTTCATAAGGAATGTTGTGTTTACCATATGACCTTTGCAGCGTCGATATGACTTCAAACACATCAAAAACAACAATGCATTTGCAAATATCTAAAAGTTAACTTAATTTGTAAAACATAGTAAGTCACGTACATGTTCCTTTATCGTTTATTGCCCAGCCACGGACACAGCTGGTTCCTCCTGTAATATCACTGGTACTCCCGCTAGTAGTATCGTCCCTGTGAACATCCGCGTTAAAATTATCTTCACTGCAGGTAGATGGTGAGTCCTGGGAGTTACATTTGTAACACTTCAACCGGCCACAACCAGTTACAACTGAAAATATAAGGAAAATTATTGTAAATGCATCAGTATTTTTTATAATATCGATCATTGAGGGATTGTTTCATGTTACCTTTATGCTGTCAATAAGAACGATATTTAAGAATTGAATACATACGATGAAAAACGTTCCAGTGAATATTTTGATAATGAAATTTGTGTAAATATTATAGTGTTACAAGATGACTTTCCATCAGAAAAAGATCATGTTTATGACAGCAAAGCGAGAGCTTTCCAGTGTGTTGGTCAGCTTATTGTTGTTACATATAGCTAGAATATGTTCCCGAATAGCAGAATCCCGATTGGCAGGATATACAAAAAAAGGCCACAAGTGCAAAGAAAAGTATAATTTGGGTCTTCATGGCCAAAAAATTATGGCTGCTATTATCAAATCAGGTTAAACTGATATCATTACACTGGCCATCAACACCATGAGTTCAAATCCCACCAGAGGTTTTTAATCATGTAACAAACTTATGTGGCAATCTTACAGGATGTCCATGGTTCTTCTATGATACCCAAACAGGCCTGATATAAAACATATAAAACCTATTATGTCAGCAAAACAGCCGCCTGGAAAATCGCCATTTGACATTGGCACTGTTGTTTTGTAAAGCATTAATGATTGTTATTATGTAAGTAATTAATCAAGTAGTAATGTGGGAATCAAGTTATAAAATAAAGTTTGAGCCTGCTTTTATATACAGAGATCTATCCCTTTTTGTGTAATAGTGTCCCAATATGGGACAGCTAAACATTACTTTACGAGGCACACTTGTCTTTTATACAAAAAAAACCCAAAAACAAAAAACCACAAACAAACTTTGTTTCTATTTTTTTTTTTAGAAACACTTCAATCAAAAACATATTTCCCCCTAAACCCTGACGTTATTATTATACAGTCATGTACAAATTCTTCTTCATAACTGAAGTCACTTTCTTTCTTAATGGTCATACATTTTATTTATGTTGCTAAACTGAGGAGAAATTAAATTAAATCAGATGACACAGACTACAATTGGAAGTCAAACTAAGAAGAAACAAAACGAAACTTGGCAATATGCATATAAATATGTTTGAAGTAGGCGGCGAGTAAACAATTAAATAATAAAAGCAAACTATGCTAAAAATGTTCTTACCTACAACATATATCGACATCAAAACAACACTCATCAATACTTTGGTTAAATCCATGTTTTACTGAACCCGTGAACGCCAGAAGTATGTGTGGTTAATATATAAGCCAGCTTTTCTCTATATATTATAAGTATGTATACTAAAGCCAAAACCATTTAAAATACAGGTAAAACTCGTATACAAATGATAGTTTTCGTTATGTGCCTAACGATGCATTAATATAATGGTACAGTTAGGTGAGACTAATTACCAAAAGCATCATTGAGCGGTCAAGCTGTATTTGTATTATATAGGATATAAGTAAACGTGGATCTGTTTTGAGCGATTCTTTTCTTACAGTGACCTTTTTATTTTTATATAATATTTAAAGAATGTAAAGGGCCTTCAAGCTGTCTATGTTTTGGTTTGGTTATAAGTTCAAAAGTTTACTATACATCTCTTTAGGTGAAAATATTTTTGTTAACAAAAAATGCATGGTACTAAAGAATAATTTATCAGCTGTTGAATTTTCCACACAACACACAGTATTATCATATATTCAGACAATGTGCTTATGCTGACAGACTCGTCATGAAATAAGTCTTGCATCAATTGTGCCATCCGATTTGAAGGTCAATTTAAAATATCAATATTGATTTACCTTTATGTTTTATTCAATTCATTTTAATCATTTTATTGCATTAAGCATTTTATGATGCTTGAAACATATGTTTTACTTTTGTTTCAATGCATTTATGGTTTTCTAATTTCATAAAGAAAGCCTTTTCACGGGGACATTATCGTGTTTGGTTTTGAGAAAATTGTAGGTTTGAGACATTAATCATGTTTTCCTGCGATACTATGTCTTTGAAAACAATTAGATGAAGTAGTTCATTGCGAATGCTTAACTATTAATTGTGTTTGTTTGTTTGTTTTTCCCCTTGTTTTCTTTACAAAGAAACTGAGTTGCTTACAGTGAAGTATTTCCAATACCAAATATATTATTCGATCCAAAGTTTCTACTTTATAATGTCTTTCTCATCGGATTGTAAAACAAACTTCATTGTGCTAGATTTTTTCTTTTTCTAAAAATATACACCTTTTAATAAATTTAGTTATTTCTTAAATTGTGTAACCTTTTGGCAATATGTATATTATATACATTAGTTTTAAAGTATTGACAGGACAAGTGGAGACTTCCGTAAAAATGAACATATATTCCGTTGCTTCGAGTATTTTACTTTCCGTTTCAAACTTAATTTGTATACAGAAATTCACATATATTTGAACACACCCTGCTTCATTTTTGTTATATAAATATTTATATACATGTATATAAGAGATAGATATGAAAACTTAAACTAGTATATAGAAACTATCTAGTGTTAAGCTTGAGTACAAATGTAACGTAGTTTTCCTTTTTTATTTACTGCTTTTAGATAAGTCAGTACATAAATTCTATAATCAATAGCTTTGTAATGGACTTTGTAAATTGCTAAATCAGAAGTTAATAAACGCTGTGCATAAATAACTTATTGTACTATTATGTAAATGCATTTGTAATAGAAAAGTGTTTATATAGTTTTGATTTAAATAAATTCCTTGCATCATTCAAAGCTCTTTTCAAACTTTCAAAATACCGATCAATGCTACATTCAATGTTAAAAAGGAATTTAGAAGCTACTTGCGTGTCATTTATTCATGTATTTAAATATTATGAACCAGTAATCTATCCATCAACTCCATTATGTTTGAAAAAAAAAATGTTTTGGTAATTCCATCGATGCTCATCGTTTTGATAATCTGAAAGTTTGTATTAAAGGAAGTCTAGGGCTTTTTGTTCTTTTTTTTTCATTTAATTTTCAATGGACACTGCAATTAATCGTTATTTTTAACATTATGATATTCTAAAATGATAAGCAAAACGAGAGACACTTGTAGAATCGGACGTGCTACATCTGTAATTCAACACCCACTGAGCTAACGTTTCAAGCATGACTGTTTGCTTCGCGCTAATATAATTGACTAAGTTTCATTTATGAACCGTATATTTTAATTTGTCAATATTTCGCCAATTCTGTCAAATTGTTGCAATAGTTTTTGATTAAAAGTGAAATTCAAATTCTGGTTTTTAATAGGTGAAATAAAATACATATCACTCACAGTACATCAATCATAGTGTGGGTAATGAAAAATGTATAGATTTGCAGAATTTCTTGTAGAGTACGAATTAATTTATGATTGAATTTCTTTAAATTGCTTTTTGTTCCTTATGGCATATTTCTCGATTCAAGTTTATTAATGTTATTGTATTACAATATCAAAAAGGAACTACGCAAATGATTACTCTCAGCTGTATTTATTTTTGTTTGCGCAGCGTACACGTTGCCGTTGAACGCCTGACGTCATTTTCTTTACATGCGTCTGTTTACAATTCCTTATGAAGTTATAAATCATGCTTAAAAAACAAGAAAAAAATCGTTTGTTTTTCGTACAATTTTAAAAATTTGCAATGGAACATTGTTGTTGTTGTTGTTTATATGTATTAGTAAAACTCTAGAACAATTCTCCTAATAACCACACTTTGAAGTCTCAAACGTATCTGCATACGTCGAATTTCGTTACAAAATTACTCACGGGGTGGGGGAAATAAAATCACGTGTACCGAAAACATTGAGTCGGTGACCCCCTAATTTTTTTTATTTATTTTGACTAATTATACATTTTAAAGGACGTTTAAAGAAAAAAAATCAAAAATTTATTTCAGGAATTTTTTAATAAGCCGCTTAAAAGCCGAAAAATGCGGCTAAACTGAACGTCAAATTTTACACAAAATTGACAATTTTCTTTCCATTACTCAAACAATTTTCGGCGTAAAACAATAAATTTTATATCTGCTTCAAGGAAAAAATAACTTCCGTCGAATGCTTTAGGATTTAAGATATTTTGTCCGCCAATGGCGTTGAAATACCCGTAACAGTTGCCAAGGATACGCAACGACGTCATGTTCAAAAATGGGCTTTGATGGTCAACATTGACGTCGTGTGTATAAAAATTGGCTGAAACTATTGAAATAAAATCAACGAAATCCAATCAGAAATATGATCAATGTTTTGCATGCCAATTTTCAAGACGCTACTCGAAAGTTGGCAAAGTGTCGCGTTCTACATCAACGTAACTTTGACTGGATATTCGCTATTTTCTAATTAAGTTATCTATACTGTGGTATTGCTCTTTTTTGTGAAGTTAGTTTCTTGTGGATGGGTTTATTAACGTGTACAAGTTTATTGAAAGTACATGTCCAAAAGGCGATAATTATTATGTTTTTTTTTCAGATCATATGAGCACTTATGTTCTAACTACAAATGTTAGGTTAATATAGGCACTCACAGGGAAAATATGTTCTGTGTTGTTACATTACATTGTGTGCATCAGCTGATTTCTTAGCCTGTCCTTTCATCAGAAGAAGCTAATATGTAGATCATCTACATGTAAACAGGAACCTGTCCTGTCTCATACCAAAGGGCACATGATGTTTCCCTCCATTGATATCAACTGGAAAAGTCACTATATGGCCTCGTCTCTAAGGACGTGACTTAAAATCTAACAAAGAAATTGACAGACTACATTCACAACATTTAGCTTCTAAGGAGTAATAACTTATAACAGTATTTTCAGTTAACTTTAGGCATCTCATAGTTGTTTCCCTTTGTTGTATAAGTTTCTAAAACCTCTTAATTTCGACTCTTATTTTATCAAAGTCGGTCTATCTGGGCAAAACAAGTCTTCAAGAATTAAGTTATACTATGTCATAAGCCTGTGACTAAAGAAGACTTACATGTTCGCATGACCATTAGTGGTATAATACGAAATTCCTTCATTTATTTCAAACTGGATATATTTTGAGCAAAAAAAACAACAAAAAACAACCAAACAATGATTTTCACGCATTCCTTTTTAACCAACTCAAAACATTTTATGAAATGGGGAAACAAGTCCAAAATTACCTAAAAGTATCTTCGGTCAATGGTCAGAAAGTCTTTAGCAATTACTTTGTCATTTTTTTTTTCAAAATAAGCTCCTATTAAACAAAATACAAAATAAACCGTTCCGTTCAATTTTCTGGACAATACAACATGTATACGCATATGGGTTTTGAATAATCACGCATAATTCTGTGGTCCATTTATACACTCGGAAAAGATATCACAACTACCGATTACTGTCATCAAATCTTTTCAATCGTTGCTTTAAATTTATAATTATAACATTTATAACTTATTGCGCTTTAACTTTAGGCGTGTGCAGTGCACGGTTTAATTCCTGCATCATTTACGGACATACTAAACATGCTTGTCAACATAAAGAAATAAATATTCAGTATTCTCAATAAACGTTTTTATTTTTTTGCTCATTAAATATGAGAATTGTCTAAATGAGAGCAGAAAGACGTTGCCCGATTGGCTATGTATTTGTAGACAAAAAATATTTGCAAGAGATATTGGTCAACGCCTGTTAATTTATTAAATACCAGAAAACAGAATGTTAGGAAAGTCCATCGTAATCGTTCAGGAAGACCACGGGCTATAAAATATAGCGATGATAAATTTCAACTTAGAATAATCTAACGTAACTACTTCATGTAAGGTGACGACTTAAAGTAGGGATAATACGTCGTTGAATGTATGGAATTTTTGTCATATTTTGAAACGTGTTCCAAATACAAAATAGGTGCTATGTACGACAATGCTAGGCACCATCAAACTCGTACGGTTGCAGATTATTTACGAGTAGAGACTATAACAATACTTCGTGACCTGCAAGGAGCTCAACATCACCGAACATGTTCGACACATTAATGCCCTCATGGTTAGGGTTAGGTCAGAAAGTCCTCCTGCAGGATCTAAATAACGAAAAAATGCAAGATGTACATGTACTTCACTAGGAATGAATAAACTTTACAAGCCAGGATCAGATATTTAGTTGAATCCAGACTTTTTGATGGTATATATTCATGTGGTCGATAACAGCAAGTTAATAAAATTCAGCGTCTTTAGCAGTATTATATATAAAATCAGTAGGTAACAGAGATTAAGTGGCTTTAACAGTTACGACATTAGAATTGTTGAGCTATTTAGGCTAGCATTATTTAGCAGGATTCATACCTACATAAATGTTAATAATATTACTCCCTAATCTTAAGCTGAAGACCGATAATTTTCTGGAGCAAACACGGTTCCTCTGTAAATTGATTTCCAAGAAACATTCTATGTATAGGTTACTTTCTAAAATGAGCGGGCTCCACAGTTTATCTTGTAAAATACAAATGTATAACTTTAATATAAAAGTTACAGAAGAAAATAAAGCTGTACCGACTTTTTTTTTCGTTTTCTGCCCCACGCTGATCACAAAATGCAACGTGACATAGGCACCGTGGTTCAACTCGTTATCAAGGTTTATGCTTCAAATTTTATGCAGGATATTCAGCAAGTTGATGATAAAGATCACAGTTTCATGTGAAGTAGATAATGGTAACGTCCTTGACCTCTTACATTTCCAATTATTCAGAAAGAGGCTTACTATAGCCATTTCTTTTAAGTCTGTCTGAATGCATCCTATAGGGAAAAGTTTAGAGATTAAAGTCCAAAGAGGTCATGTGAAAGTGGGTTTAATCAGCAACTTCGTTCATTAAGGCTATTTGACCAAATATTCCCCAATAATATAAGGGGAAATTTGTCTTAATGATACCACTGAGGTTTTTTGACATGTTGGAACCGAAAATATTTTTTCAAAAGTTTTATATAACTGGATATAAGGCTTGACAACTAACTCATGTACAAAATGTCAGATCATTCTCTCACTCCGTTTCCTAGGAAAATTCAATTCTATATTGTGCAAACTGACCCAAAAATGAAAAGGGTTGCAACGCTTTTCGCTCAAATTAGCCAAAAAAATAGCATAAAACTCGCTTATCAATTTAATACCAAGTATATTATTATATTATCGATTGCATAGTGTTCAATTCTAAGTGTACTAGTTATTTTATGAAGGAATTTCTAAATTTATGATTTTTGGCTACTGGACCTCAGTGGCGTTCCTTTAAGTTTAACTGATGGGCTTAAAAATATCAATCAATCTCTCTGCATATAACTACATGTACCATAATATCAGCATAAAGAAAACAACACTGTTGACATGATTTTTCTCTCATATTGCATTATTTGTGTTTTTTCCAGTGTATAAAAACAGTACAGCAATAATTTGTCAACCTCTATTAATATGTTCTTGTAATCACACTTTTTGTAAAGTTTTAACAGCCTTATTCAATAAATCAGTCAAAGAAAAAACATAATAAATTAGAAATGAAAATATAGCTAACAAAGAAATATGTGCTGAGCCACATCTAGATATATGATATGTGCAAGTATTTTGTATTGTATTTTATTTGACCAATTGTCTTTTATTTATTTATTTTATTTAACAAATCTATTTTTCTTAACCTATCAACTGAATTCTTAATGGCACATGAACATACAAATTTCTTTGTATTTGTATCCAGTGTATTTCTGGTATCTAAATGATACACAAGTATTTTGCATAATGTTTGCTATAGACTTAAACCTCCATGAACAAAAGGTCCAACATTTCTTTTACATACATGTATTGTTCGGAAAATCCATGAAAGGTTTGGGAAAAAAAGAAACTACAAAAAGTCAGATAAAATAAATGTAGGTATAAATTTAAATCTGTACAATATAGGATATATATAGACTTGTACCCAGCTGGAAAACCCCATACAGGACTTGTCAAGTGGCTCATCCAATACAGGTTTGTCAAGCTAGGTTCTCATCTCAAAATACATGTATATATCTACCTATTATACAGCACACTGTTAAATGGTTTTTAGAGAAACATATCAATGACTAATTTTTATCTTATAAATGCTCAATATTTTTTCTAGCACATTTTCTTTCTTTCATGAAGATAAAACAACAAATTACAAGCTGTTGTTTTTATAAGCTCAATATTTACTGGCCTTATAATTTGATCATAAAAACATGAAAAATTATCATAAGCTCATTATAGCTGTCATTGAATTGAACATTTGAATAATTTAATATTGTTAATTTTTCTTAAAACGAAAATCACAATACATGTAATTATAAAGGAATATACTCCAGTCATTAAGCATGTAGACAGATATAATTATTGTAGTCGAGAAATTACTAGCTTAAAACCATCACAAATTTCAGGATTTTAGTAAAGTTTGACCATTAATATTTGTAACAAGAACACTTTGGCCGGCTATACTGGTGGGAAGAGTTAATGAACCTGATTTTTTATCAACACCAGATGGCAGCACTGTTAAAACGTTTGATAAATTCGATGGTGTAATTGTCAATAAATTTGATCCTTTAGAAGGCGAGCTAGCCTGAATAAGTCCCTGGGAGGTAATTCCTTGCAAAGTTACTGATGATGATGATACAGACCCTGAAGTTGCGGTTCCTGAAACAGATGATGAATTTCCATTCGCAGTTGCAACGTTAAACTGACTAATCATCTGCATTTGTGAAAATGATGTCGATGGATTTATACGTTTTTCTTTTTGCCGTCGGTTGCAAAACCACACGCGTATAACTTCCTTTTCCATGTGTAAGCTGTCAGCCAATATTGATATTTCTTCCCCATTCGGTTTAGGATTGTTAAGAAAACTTTTTTTCAAGAGTGACGCGTATTGTTGTCTCGATGCTTGTACGCTTTTTCCGTCGTCTGGCGATTGATTCCGGTGTCATTGGATCCACATCGCCATCAGTTTCAGCCGCCTGACTGGAACTGACCGTATAAGCGTCTTCTAACCATTTACTAAGCAAACGTTTTAATTTACACATATTTTTAAAACTGAGATTTAATGCCTCAAAGCGAGATATTGTTGTTTGGCTAAAATCGTTGCCATATAACTTCCCCATAGCAAGACCTACGTCTCCCTGAGTAAAACCTGAAAAACAAATTAACATTGACATTTTGATTATTATTTGCCGTTAGAAATTATTCAAATAGTTATCAGTTATATGAAACTATCCATGTAAGTTAAATTGTTGAGAAAAAAATTCATTGCCTTTTATAGCTAAAATTATATGTCTTTAACTCTCACCTTGCTTACTATCTACATCTCTCATTCTTGACAAAACCATTCATCATTTAAGGGAAAGATAAAGGTTTATAACAGACTGAGTAGCAAACAGCGCAGACTATCATCATGGTATGCAGTGGTTCTTTTGGTAGAATTATTTCCTACTAGAATGCTAAGGTATTGTACCTAATATCTATATGAAAACTATAAGTCTGATCCTATACTTACTTAGTTCTATTCTTCTTCTCTTGAAAGATTTTGCAAACTGTTCTAGTTCCTCTAAATCAATATTTTCTCCCTGTAAGATACATAAAAAGTCTATTTTTAGCTTGTGTGACCTTGTGAATCAGACTAGAATCTTTTATACATTGTGATTTAGGAGATGTTGTTTAACATTACGAAATTGTGGCCTATGTCAGACACTATGTGGTCACAAAAGCTCACAGTTCTCTGATATTTTTCTTCTACTTTGGTTGGATTTTATGTCACACCAATACTGTAAAGATCTTATGGCAACTTTCCAGCTATACTGGCGCAAGAAGACCTCAGGTGTCCCTCCGGGCATAATCGGGGACCTGATTCAAACCACCAACATTCAGAAAGCTAGCTAGACAGTTTCCTCACATGAAATAATCCAAAGTTGGGATTCAAACCCACAGCAGTGAAAGGCAAGTGGTTTGAAGTCAACAACCTTAACCACTCGAACAGATGCCTCACATTGATGATAATAATAATTTATTTCTAATGAAGCCCAATGTTCATTGTATGTTAACATTATAATATTGTGTTAATGCACTTTTTTCGTGCATTAAATTCTGCAGAAGCTGTGCTTAATATGATACAATATTGGAAATAATAACAATATTTTCATAATTTTGCCTATCAAACATTTGTCAGTGTCAATATGACAAGATAATCTAATTGGATACGAAACCAATTGTATAACCTTATCAAATAACAATGGTACATTCTCTCAACAACATGTTACAATATGACAATTTTGCAACAGATAAACAATTCTCATCGTATCTCAGACAATGATAAAAACAAACTAATTTCATACATCTGTTTACCAGGTAAGCAAAATTTGAATATCTTGAATTTTCATCAAACACAAGAATTTACGAATATATTCACCAATAACTATAATGGCATTGTATGAACTGGTGCTGGGGAAATAACCTTTAAAGCTGCAAGTTTCCAGATTTGTGTATGTTAGCTACTAAATGAAGAAGAAAGTTTAAATCATGTGTTGGAAAAGGCCTTGATTCATGATAAACACCTTATGTAATAAAATCCCAAAGTTTGAATTCATTTACTGTATTATAAATATTATAATTAGTTACTTAGAATTTTTGAAGATTTATTTCAATTTCTGAAAGTGTCCCTTTAAGTAAAAATATATAACCTCTGAAACCATAGGATGCTTGGTTAATTTATATGAATTATTTTAATGTAAAGTTTCTTGCTCAAGGAAACAACGGCTTGCCCCTGACAAGGGTTTGAACCAACGCGGCCAGCAATCCTTAGATTACTAGTCTGCCACTACTGGTTAAACTAAAGCATCAATATGTCTTGCCTAATTTATGCATAGAGGGGCACAAACCGCCATCTTTCTAAACAATTGCAAAAGAAGCTGGAATATCACAAACATGTTTTGTGTGACTTAAAACAACAAAATAAAAACAAAATGAGAATACTAACTGGTGCTAAAAGGGGAGGTAACCCTGATGTTGATATGTTCCCACTGAGATCAGATGACGTCGAGTTCTGGCTGTCTGACTTCAACTCTCCAACATTTGTTGCTTGAGATGCTGAGGTAGATATGAGTTGATTTGGTGTAACACTTGTGTTAGCCAAGGATTGAACTGTGGTCAGTTTAACTGGGGTCACAGATTGAGATAGTGACGCTGGTACAGCCGCTGTAAGTCCCGGTAACAGGAAACCACCCTGGAAATAAAAAATAACAATTTGAAAATTCTATTTCCTGGACTGTTTTCTTAAGAAATTAGTTAAGTTCAAAGATATTATTTTTATAGCTTTCACTTGTGATGAAAGATATACAATTATATAAATCACTATCAAGTACGCTTTCAGCAACCAACAAGCGCTTTAGTCATGTAAAGAAACATGGGCGGAACTTGTGACCCATGAAGGACTCGAACCAATGGTCCCTGCAACAAGATGCATATACTTTAACCGCATAGACAGGTGGTCTTTATTTGGAGGTTACTTTGTTCTTTATAATCAATGAAGGGTTGTCACAGTGTGCCCTTTCATGCATATCAGACAGGATTATCTTCTGTTTACACTGATGCTACAACAAACTGTCTTACACCCCCATGTAAACAAGTCACATGCTTTAAATGACATCATTCCCATGAGCCATTTATGAATGAACTGGGTTCCTAGGAAGACGTAATTTTGCCATTATGAATGAAATTCATACCATACTACAAGGAAAGTGCTAAATGTAAAAAAAATAGTTTTAATTAATTTCTTTCCGAAATATGATTAATATGTCATATTAAAGTGCTAAATAAAAACTAGAAATGTGTCCATAGGACATGGGTGCCCCCACCCCGCCAATGTTCTGTCAATCTTATTACTCTAGGTCAAACATTTTTTGAAAACTAAAAATCTTTTACTAAGTAAAGGGCAAGAACTTTACAAATACTGAATAAATCCACAAGCAATCCCCAAGGTGCAGAAGTACACATGCTGACCAACATTCTTGTAAACTTTTAGGCCTACAAGTCAAATACTTTTTGAGCTATGCATGAACAAGTTGAAAATTGCAAATTTATACTACTGTAAGTCAAGGGCAATAACTCTAAAAAATCTGAAAAAAATCCACTTGCAAAGTCCCAGGTGCATAGCTTCACAGTGATGTGAATCATTATTCCTGTAATTTTGTGATGTTGATCATTATTCCTGTAAAATTGGTTGATTCTAACTCAAGCACTCAAGGAACAAATAACAACATAATGAAACAGTTTTTACTAAGTCAAGGGAAATAACTCTACAAATAATGGAGAAATCCACAAGCAAAACCCCAGATGCAAAACAAAATATGCTGAGCAACTTTCCTGTAAGTTTTAATGACTCTATGTCAAATCCTTTTTTGAGTTACATGCGACACAAGTTGAAAATTGCAAAAATTTACTAAGTCAAGGAAAATAACTCTAAAAATACTAAATTAATCCAGACGAAAATACCCAGGTGCACAACTACAATGTACACATGCTGATCAATATTCCTGTAAAGTTTCTTGACTCTATGTCAAATCCTTTTTGAGTTACATGCGACACAAGTTGAAAATTGCAAAAATTTTACTAACTCAAGGGCAACAACTCTAAAAATAATAAATAAATCCAGACAAAAATACCCAGGTGCACAACTACACATGCTGATCAACATTCCTGTAAAGTTTTTCATGACTCTAGGTCAAATACTTTTTGAGTTACATGCGACACAAGTTGAAAATTGCAAAATTTTACTAAGTCAAGGGCAATAAATCTAAAAATACAAAAAATATCCTGAAGAAAATACCCAGGTGCACAACAACATATGCTGATCAACATTCCTGTAAAGTTTCATGACTCTAGGTCAAATACTTTTTTAGTTACATGCGACACAAGTTGAAAATTGCAAAAATTTTACTAAGTCAAGGGCAATAACTATTAAAAAAACAAAAAATATCCAGACGAAAATACCCAGGCGCACAACAACATATGCTGATCAACATTCCTGTAAAGTTTCATGACTCTAGGTCAAATACTTTTTGAGTTACATGCGACACAAGTTGAAAATTGCAAAATTTTACTAAGTCAAGGGCAATAACTCTAAAAATACTAAAAATATCCAGACGGAAATACCCAGGTGCACAACTACACATGCTGATCAACATTCCAGTAAAGTTTCATGACTCTAGGTCAAATACTTTTTTAGTTACGTGCGACACAAAAGAGAACGGACGGACGGAAGAACAGACGGAAGGATGGACGGACGGACAAGGGTAAATCTAAATGCCCGCCACTAAAGTGGGGGCACAAAAATTAGTTTTAATTAATTTCTTTCCGAAATATGATTAATATGTAATATGCAAGAAAAAGAATCATACACTGGCTGTCGTAACAGACAGCAATCCAGCTCTCGGGTAACTGTTCAACAGATACTTAGAAAACCCTTGTTACCTCAATAAACAGTTACCTTTGAGCTATATAGTCTAGTCTGTACCAGCAGCTGGTGTAAGATCCTTATACACAACATAGTGATCTTAATTCAGAAGTGGTCTTAAACACAAGTTTGACTGTAATTGTATCATTCAGAAATTTTGTCATTTTTTTTATTTAAGCCAAATTGACGTTATTCGAAACCCGGCAAGGTGGGTTTTTTCCCAGCTAAATTGTAGGTACAAATTAACTGTTACCGTTATAGCTTCACGGTGCACTACCCCTCACAATAGATTAGTTAACCTGTTTCGCTTAATTTTCGAAGCTGTTACTGTAAAAGTTTGTTTGTATCTACGTTATTAGCTGGGAAAAACCCAAATACAGTCTAACTTGCCCATGCGTACACGTGTATTAAGCGACTTTTGTCTTATGCGGCCACTTTCAATTCCCCCCCCCCTTCATTTTCTCTCTATATCTTTAATGTATTAAGCGACTTTTGATCAACGCGACCAACGACCGCTAATTAGTCAGCTAATTGAGATCAATCTTTTCATTAAACGACCACTTTTACCTGTCAAGTAACTGCGTTTTTAGAGAACGCCGCCTTGTAATGTCACAAGTGTCAACAATCAAAACACAATATATAAATGTGTGAAAAACTCTATTTGCCAAACCGTTTTAGTGTATACTAATAAAGGTAAGTATACACGTGACGTGTTTTATCCAATAATATCGATAAAACAATGCAATGCTCCGCCCCTACTCAGATGGTGAATACGCTTAGCTGTTGACATTTAGACTGCATTGAATTGACCTTGAACTTGATCAGCAATTTAATTTATTGTTACAATCAGATGTAGTTTGTTTATTTCAAATGAAAAATGCACAATAGAAAAAAGCTTCACTTATCAGGGTTTTCGTGTTGGAGACAAGAAAATACAACGGAGAAGTTTAAAAATTCTGGAAAAATGTCAAACATGTACATAATGGATCAAAACTGATTTGTCAATAAATATCTGAAAGTTATTGTTTTACATTAGCATCCATTTAGATTATAGGAGCGTTCTTATTATTAAACATTTATATAAATGAAGTTGAGAAACATTCCCACAGCAAAAGAAAGATGTCATGTATAAGTTTTGACTTTTTATCATGCTTTGTCTTAAGAGACTGTTTCATTAAGCGACCGTTTTGGGTGTTTCCCTTGCGCGGTCGCTTAATACAAGTTTGACTGTATTCTTAATTCCGGAGTAAGTCTATTCTGCTTACCACTCCTGCAGTTGGTTGTATCATAAACTGTGGTTGAAGGGTTGTCAACTGTGAAGGGTTTACTAGTAGTATCTGTTGCATGCCCGCCATAGCTGGTAACTGTGTAGCTTGCAATGCTTGGGTGCCAGCTTGAGATTGGGCAACCTGTAAAACAAAGAGTTTAACCTGGTTACCTGAAATTAGCAACACTAAGTATTATATGTACTTACTTGATGGTTAGAATCTCACTGAAAATTTTCTATGGTACGTCAGTGGTTCTACTCGGGTGTCCGTTCATGCCTTAAATAATGTACAGAAGGACACTTGAGGTCTTCCTCCCTCAGTAAAGTTGGAAAGTCGCCATATGACCTATACTGTGTTGGTGTGACGTAAAAGCCAATCAAACTCAAACAAACACTGAAAATTTTCAGCACCTGGCCGGGCTTACCATCAGGTGTTAAAATGGATCATTCCAAAAGACCTAGAAGTGTATGGTTTTCTAAATAACTCCTAGAAATTGTGTTTGTTTCTTCTTAATACAGACTGTTAAAACAAGCATGGTGTAAAAAAAACACTACTGACAAACATACATTTTAATCATTACCATGCTCAATCTTTTAAATCTTGACAAAACCATTCTCAATTTTTAGGGACAATTTCAAAGTAACAACTGACTGAATAGCAAACAGTGACTACCGGTACCTTGATTGTGCCAGCTGATAATGGTCTTCACTGGTTGCATGAGTCGATTCTGGAGCCCCTAACATGCTATAGGTTACCCATACATCCTTCTACTGAGAATCAAATGTCTTCCTACACCATTTTGATTATAAATTGGTATATAGCTTTAAATGTTTATTCTAATTTGATACATTCTCTTGAATTTTGGAGTGCAGTTTAGAAACAATACTAGAAATGTTTTCATAGGACACGGGTGCCCCCACACTCCACTGTTTTGTCAATCTTATGACTCTATGTCAAATATTTTTTTGGACTACATGTGCCACAAGTTAAAAACTAAAACTCTTTTACTAAGTAAAAAGCAAGAACTTTACAAATACTTAATAAATCCACAAGTGAATCCCAAGGTGCATAAGTACACATGCTGACCAACATTCTTGTAACCTTTCAGGTCTACAGGTCAAATACTTTTTGAGCTTTGCATGAACAAGTTGAAAAAATGCAATTTTATACTACTGTAAATGAATGTCAATAACTCTTACAAAACTGAAAGAAAATCCACATGCAAAACCCCAGGTGCATAGCTTCACAGTGATGTTGATCATTATTCCTGTAAAGCTGGTTGATTCTATCTGAAGCACTCAAGTAACAAATAACGCAACATAGTGAAACGGATTTCAACTAAGTCAAGGGCAATAACTCTACAAATACTGGATAAATCCACAGGCAAAAGCCAGGGTGCGCAACTACACATACTGACCAACATTCCTGTAAAGTTTCATGACTCTATGTCAAATACTTTTTCGCTAAGTGTGACACAATAGAGAACGAACGGACGGACGGACAAGGGTAGGTCTTAATTCCCCCCCCCTAAAGTGGGGGTATAATAAGTAAATAAAAAGTATTAACCATAATTGTACAAGTGTGAAGAAACGGTGTTGGTACGAGAAGTAGAACTAATACAATGTATTTTTTTCTAAGACCTCAGCTGTATTTTAAGTCTGTAGATTGAAATATCCTCCTTAACCCTTAGCCAAATAGGTTGTTTTCGTTGGCACATCTGTTGCCTCAGATACTATTTGCTAAACATTGATGGTCAACTTGTACCCTTACCAATGACATATGTAGGTCTATAATTTAAATTGCAACCAACTTTTAAAAGGTTAAAGGCACATTATGCCACAGAAACACCTTTAAAGTTTTTATTATTCCTTAAAGGTTTTTAATAATTGTTGGTTTCTTATATATTTTTTCAAAAGTTACTTATTGACAAATATTCTGAACCCTCTTTTTTTCTGTTGCTATTTGGCAATAAGAACATTTAAAGTGATTAAGTATTTTTATATGTTTTTTGTATGGAAGTGAAAATACTACTTTGTTTTTTTGCTACTTTTAAGACTTATCGCTACTTTCTTCAGGTAACAAGAATCTGACATGCTCTAAACCATACAATTCATGTTTGCCCTTCCTAATGATATAAAAATCTATTCGTTTCTGAGGCAAAGTGAGCCTGTAATAAAGATGACTGACCATGTATATATTTAAATGATTAATCAGGTAATAATGCTTAATATAATTAACAATATATTTTTTAATATGGCATGTGTCACAGGACAATACCATAAATTACAAAAATAATGACAATCTTAAATATTAAATAGTATATAGAACAACTGTTTTAATGAATCATTCTGTTACAAGTAATTTTCAAATGTGGAAACCAAAACTACCAAAAATATTATATATATACCACAGCTGTAGGCTGAACAGATGGGCTTTGAAGGATGTATCCTCCCTGTTGCATGCCGACCAATGGTATATTTCCTAAAGCCAGAGGTTGCGAGGTGGGCGTGGCTGGGTTGCTAGTCATTCCGGCATTTAACTGAAACTATAAAACAATTAAGAATATTTGTTTGTTTTTTTTCACTTGATCATATTTATTTTACAACATTCATCTGTATCAGAAAGCATATTTGTAATCATATTGAGGCTCAAAGGGTAACAAACTTTGGTTGAAAATAAAACATCATATCCCAAAAGCCACTGCTCTCTTTCGTCAGAGTCTTAAGTACGAAAATATATTAGATATTAACAGATTTAGCACAAATATCTATCAAATAATGTTCTGGTTGTTTTTTTCTGTTTCAAAGAATTGTTTTATTTTTTTCTATTTAGGACCATTCTTGTTTGTAATTTGATTTCATGCCAGTCTCTGACTGTTTATAGAACTGTTGAAAAGATTATTAAGAGCTTGCACATAAATTTTACACCCAGACTCAATAAACAATGTTCTTACTTTATGTATACACATTGTAATTCGACACACAGACTCTATATGACAATGTTCGTACACTATGTATAAGTTCTTACACTATGTATACACAGTGTTTTGTTTTGACTTATATTACAGGAAACAAGCATAAGTAAAATGTCGCTGAGTATTTTCATATCTTTGTATCTTTTAAAACAATGTGTTTTTCTGAGTGGGTGGCTTCCGTGGCCAAGTTGTTAAGGTCGTTGACTTCAAACCACTTGCCACTCACCGCTGTGGGTTCGAATCCCGGCAGGGACTTTAAATTCTTTCATGTGAGGAACCTTTCCAGCTAGCTTTCGGAACGCCGGTGGTTCTATTCAGGTGCCCGTTTGTGCCTAACATAATGCACGGAAGGGCACCAGTGGTCTTCCTCCACCAGAACAGCTAAAACGCCGCCATATGATAAATACTGTGTCGGTGTGACATAAAACCCAAATAAACAAACAAACAAACAAATTTCTTAGTGGGGTTAAAGTAACATATTTATCTTTTTCACAAATTGATTGTAAGTATCTTTACATTTAACAAGTTTATAAAACGGCTTTATTAAATGTTTTATGTAAAACAAATTTTAGTGTTTGTTGAATAGATAAGGCAAGAACTGTAAACATTCTTTGAATTTGAAAAGATTGTGAAGAGAAACTGTTTCAATTAAAAAAATGTATAATTTCAAATTTAGCAATTTAGCATACATATGAGTCTGTCAGGGTGTGGTATAATGTAATTACTGTTTTTAGAGGAAATTATTATTTTAGCGTTATTCAATCAAATATATTTCAAAACTGTATTTTTATAAATAACGTTAACCGTAAGTAACAAAAGTTTTTCAAGGTCTAAAAGGAAAGCATAGTCAAAATATGGTGGGATCAAACATTTGAAATTTTACATACACTTTAAACTGTTAACAATTGATTTCGCGCAGTTTATATAATTTGTAACATCCAATTTTCATTTTGATTTTTTATATTGAATGTACTATGATGTACCTAAATTATTATTTAAGAAATACCATTTTTCAACTTGGTCAAATGTTTAGTAAACAAAAGTGAAAATAAGTTGAAATATATCGCTATCTAATGCTAATTATTTCAGAATTTCGGTAAATTTTTATATCTTGTCTGGCAACATTAAATCATTATCGTTTTCACAGTCCAACGTTTGGAATCATTTGAACAAAATTAAATGGTCCAACAAATGTACAAATCGGTAAGATTGGTCTGAACGGTAACGGAATTAAAACACATTGTGAAAGGAAACCTTACAGAGATAGCATATTGAAGGCCATGCTTTGAATCACATAATACACTAGTGTCAAGTCTTATTAGCCTAACGAGTGCGTTTCGATGTTGTTTTAGGCAACATAGCTTAAATGGTGATATATCAACACTGTTATTCTCCCCAAACTTATCAATACAATACGTGCACACATACGCACATAATTGCATGGTCTTTTGAAGCGCAACTAAAAATCTACAATTTGAATATAACTTTAATCTTCACTTATTCTATTATTTTTCACGGACATTTATTTTTTACATGAAGGTTTATAAACTAAAATACGTGTCTCCTTAAAACAAGTTTAAAAGCGCAATAAATAATTACACATGTTACATTAACAAAATTATATATTGTTACAAAATTCTATATAATCATTCTATCACTAAATTACCGCTTCGCAACATTTACATATATTATCTGATCGAAATACTTATCGAATGTTACGAAAAGTATTAAATTTAACAATTAATAAGGAAGTTTTGAAATCAACACTTGGATGGAGTAGCAAATTTTACAAACCGGAAAAATGTTACAAACACTTTAAATAATAATCAGATAGAACTGACGATGAACTTAACGCATCGAATTATTTTCAATATAGAAAAAAGATACATATTGTTTTTCTGATTTGTAAAATATTACTATAAATTGAAAACTGGATACCAATTTTAAAATGTCAGGGATTTTCTATAATATGTGCACTATATTTTGTGTCATATTATCAACAGTGATCATACCCGGCAACGGTAGGTTTGAGTTTTATTTTATTCATTAACACGGTGCATATTCATATCGGTACCCTCTTTGCAAAATCCTCTCAAACAATACCCTCTTTGCACATGCACAGGTCATTCTCTGCTAAAATCAAACCAGTGATAGATAACAATCCAGTAAAATTTCATTGTAATAAGGAAAGGATGTGTGGCACGTGGAAAACATGTATGCCACGGAACACTAGAATGTTTTGTTTATGTGATGATTTGTCATGAGCCCGTTTTTCAAGTACTGCAACTTCACAATAAACTACACAAAATCGACATGGCTTGCCTCGCCATCACCTCGACATATTTTTCGGGCTGAAATGAACCAGTACCTTGATTATATATGCATCATACATATTGAATATGTTCATTTATATATCATCTTCGGACAAATGGCAGTATATTGTCAAAAATAAATGTAAAATTCATAAAAACACCCTACTTTTGGTTTTGCAGCGGCACAGGCTACCTCTCTGCTTTTGAATTTTTATATTACAGGTACCCTCTCATTTTTTAACACACGGATACCCTCAAAGCACGTCATACGCTTTTATTTGCGTTAATCGTTAAATATGTTATATTTCTTATTTTGATAAACGTATATATACTATAGTGTAATGATACAGAGTTCTGTTGTTCAAAAATGAGAATAAATAACATAGAAGAACACAATTGTAAACTTATGATGCTTAATCTTAGAACTGGTCAGTGGCAGGAATCGCCTGTCTTTAATAAGAACTGCCCATTCAAGCATCCGTGGAATTATACTGCATGTCAAGGTTCAAGCTAAACGAATCAGATTAAACTGATATATCATTAATTTACAGAGTATGCGGCTGAGAACGCCACTTTTCCTACCATGTTTTATATTTAATTAAGTGGTTAGCGTTCATGTTTAATTGCAAAAATACAAAAGTTCATATAGAGACTAGTCTTGCAGCTATTGGGTGAGTGGAAGAAGATCTAATATGGCCCTCTTTCAGTTTTTCGGGAAAATCACTTTTGCCAGCTTGCTATGTAGCTTACTAAAATAAAAGAATTCGATCCACTCATGATTCGAACCAATCTTCAATCAAACTTCTATCAATCAAAATGCAGCAATATAAATGTATTGCACTAATAACAATATTGCACGACAGGTATTGCTGTTATCGTTGTCATCAAACCGAACTCGTCGTCAAATTATGCAAGCGTTTTCCCTGGTTATGGCATTGTAATACAGTACTGTGTTGTTACCAAGACAGCACAATACCACGATGACGTACATGAAACACCGTAGTTATACTTTTCAGATATACGTGAGGTGTGATGTATATGTTGTAGAACGGTGATTTTGGTGTCCTGTTTTACATGCAGTTTCAAAAAGGTTACTAATTGGCATATAACCTAATCAATATTTTACTTTACAGTGTGTTGTCAATCAGTACAGTTGTAGTAATTTTGTATGGAAGTAAAAACATTACATTATGTTGCTCCTATTTTAAGAAATAACTTCACATTTAGCATTACTTTCTCTCACCTCGGACATTAGAAAAATAATAAGATTCGTAATGTGCTGCTTTTTAAAGTTCATCAATTTATACTTCCGCTCATGATAGATTTTATATAATATATTTGCACTTGTTTATTTATTCATTTGTTTACTATTTATTGATTTGTTTATTTATTTATTTATGTTATTTATTCATTTATTCATTACATAAATATAAAGTAGAAAAAAATAAGAATCGAGTAATTGCAGTCGAATTCCGACTACCTGTATTATAAAGTCTTATTCCATCTTTCGCGTAGCTTGCTTCCTTATGTACTATGCTAGGACGGGTACGTACCTGTGATATAAATAATCAATAACAAAGAGGTAGCCAGTTTCGCTGCAAAACCGAGAAGGGTGTATTTATTAATTTTACATGAATTTTTGACTAATAACTGCTTTTTCCCGAAGATTATGTATAAATGAACATATGCCATATGTATGATGCATATAATCAAGCCACTGGTTCATTTCAGCCCTAAAACAATGTCGAGGTGATGGGCAAGACAAGACATGTCGATGTTATGTAGCTTATTGAATAATGTTGCAATAATTGAAAATGGACAATCGAATATAAAATATATTGTTTAAACTACTGTATAATAGATTAATAGATTAAGTTTAAGTTACCGGTTATTAAAATGTTGAATAACAGGCATTAAATTCTGAAAAAAAATATATAACCTGTTTACCTTTTCACAGAAATATTAAGCAATCGTTATGTTTTTCTGTTTATATCTTGCATGTTTTTAATACCATACTCTTCACACTAGGAGTAGTGCTAGACTGTTATAACACATCAATTCGGGAGTACGACGGCCATCAGCAGACGACTGTTACCGGAAAAGCGTGTTTACGATGGGATCAGTTTAATGAATACTTTGCGAGTTACTTCACAGATGCCACAATATCAGATGCAGCTAATTTCTGTCGTTCTACACTGGGATATGGCGGTGCCTGGTGTTTTACGTCAATAAGCAGAACTTTGGACAATTGTGGTATCAATAAATGTGGTAAGCAAAAATGCCCATTTATATATTACTATATTTAGTGATAATTCATTAAACATTCTTTCTATGATGAAATATTGTTGTCGTGCAAATAAAAATGGTTGATCAAAGTGCTCCCTATTTTCTCAGCAACCTAATACTTGGAGGAGTGTGGTAACTAACAAGGTGGTGAACAAAATCTTATCAGCCTCAGCATGTTTCTATCGGTAGAATGCTTCTTTTCGGTAAATAAAAAATATGATTTAAATTTTAAGTAAATTAGCCAAGCATATTAAGAAAATAAAACTTAGTATGAAAGTATGAAACTATGTTTCTTCTTTGCTTAATACATTTCGTTCTTTTGATCATACATACATTAATTTCACAGTTTCGTACTATGAACAGCATATATAAAAAATTGATAGATTCTTCAAAAGCATGTCCCATGAAAACAAACCAAGTCCATGAATAAACAATTTTCATTTCTTATTTTACACACTGAGGATTTGATGCTTTAAAATCTAAAATGCCGTTAAGTTGTTTTGTTTTTTCTCTTGACTCTAAGATTATAAAAGTCAGTAGATTTCAATAATCATTAGCATCCATTAGATGATAATATTGAGTATTGTTACACAGCTCAACTATATTCTATAGCATGACACATAAGAACCTGAAATACATTAGCCAGGCGTAGTAAGAAGCTGATAGTTATAGCTAGGCGCTTTGAGAAACTTGAAATTTGATACGTTGGTGTTTTAACAACCCTAACGTATGTTCGTGAAGTTGGCAGTCTAACAGCCTGAAGTTGGAAGCCTAACAGCCTAGCAGCCTGGCAGCCTAGCAGCCTAAAGAAAACTAAGAATAGTACAAACATGAAAACAGTCGGAAATACATTAGTAGCACTTCTTTAGATCATGCCACGCCTTTTTTCAATATCGTGATCTTTATGTTTTAAGATGTATTATCTTAACATAATTTTTTCATTCTGACCCTTCGAAATTTGTGAAGTTAGCAGCCTAATTATGTGCTACCGATTCATTACCGACGGTTTTCATGTTTGTATTATCCTTAGTTTTCTTTATGCTGTTAGGCTGCCAGACTGCCAACTTCACAAATTTCGAAGCGTCAAAATAAAGAAAAAAAAGTTCAATATTAAGAAAATAAAGATCGCGAAACTGAAATAAGACGTGGAATGGTCTAAGTATGTGCTACCGATTCATTTCCGACGGTTTTCATTTTTGTACTATCCTGCTAGGCTGCTAAAATTTCACAAATTCTGACGCTTCGAAACTTGTGAAGTTAGCAGCCTAAGTATGTGCTACCGATTCATTTCCGGCTGTTTTCATGTTTGTATTATCCTTAGTTTTCTTTAGGCTGCTAGGCTGCCAGGCTGTTAGGCTGCTAACTTCACAAATTTCGAAGCGTCAAAATAAAGAAAAAAACAAAGTTCAATATTTAAAAAAATAAAGATCGCGATACTGAAATAAGACGTGGAATGGTTTAAGTATGTGCTACCGATTCATTTCCGACGGTTTTCATTTTTGTACTATCCTGCTAGGCTGCTAACTTCACAAATTTCGAAACGTCAGAATAAAAAAAATATGTTAAGATAATACATCTTAAAACATAAAGATCACGTTATTGAAAAAAGGCGCGGCAACATCTAAAGAAGTGCTACTAATGTATTTCCGACTGTTTTCATGTTTGTACTATTTTTAGTTTTCTTTAGGCTGCTAGGCTGCCGGGCTGCTAGGCTGTTAGGCTGCTGGGCTTCTAGGCTGCCAACTTCAAGCTGCTAGGCTGCTATGCTGCCAACTTCACGAACACCCCTAACGTTAATAGATATGCACTGATACATACTCAGCCTCAAGCAGTTACTGTATGAATTGAAATAGCTTAGCATGATTTTAACCAGAATTGAAATATCCCTGGCACAGTAACATCCTACATTGTGATGCTTGGTGATGTTAAAGCCTGTATTGTAATAGTTGAGTGCTGTATTGTGATATATTGGTGCTGTAACAATTTGTATTGTTGGTAGCTTGACGCTGTAACAATATGTATTGTGATATCTTGGTAATGTTACAACATGTATTGCGATATCTTGTAGCTATAATAACCTGTATTGGGATAGTTCGACTCTGAAATAGTCGGTTTTGTCGTAGCTTGGTAATTTTACAACATGTCTTGTGTAGGTCTGGTGATATAACAAACCCTATTGCGATAGCTTGGTGATGTAAAAACCTGTATTGCGATAGCTTGGTACTATTACAACCTGTATTTTGATGGATTAGTGCATTAACAACCTGCATTGTGATAAACCGGTGATGTTTCAACATGCCTTGTGATAGCTTTGTGATGTTACAAACTTTGATATGATAGCTTGGTACTGTTACAATCTGCATTGCAATAGATTGACGCTGTAATAAGATGAATTGTCATAGCTTGGTTGTGATCGATTGACGCTGTAACAACATTTATTGCGATAGATTAACGCTGTAACAACTTGTATTGTGATATCGCGGTGCTGTAACAACCTGTATTGCGATAGCCTGACGCTGCAACAACCTAAATGGTGAAAGTTTGGTACTGTAACAACCTATATTGTGGTAGCTTTGTAATGTTGCAACCTGAATTGTGATAACAAACTGCAGTATGATAGCAACCTGAATTATGATAGTTTGCGCTTTAACTATATTTACATAATTTCTCCAGCACATTGTAAGGTAAATGGCATTTTAAAACAGAAATTATTCCAAAAAATGAATATTTCGTGTAAAAAGTCGATATTTTTTAATTTTCTCTTGAAGTTGCATATTATTAGCCGCATAATGTGAATTTGAAGAAATAAACATAAAGTAAAAGCGAATATTAGACACTACATGTATTTGAAAAGCATGCAATTTTATTACGCAAGTTAAAAAAGTATTTATTATTCTATAGGTGATGATGGTTTGCGTGAGTGTGGCAAATTGAATATTGACAAACCCACCATACTAGGAAGGAATGTAACATTTTCTTTCACCCCCGACACGTATAATCCGCATGCAATTCTAGAATGGCAGCGCAGCATGAATGGAGTAAATCAATGGAAAACTCTCCCCTTAAATTACAAGTTTACTCAATACGAGAGAAATATGACTTACTACCTGATATTAACTGACAGTGTCAGAAACAATGACGAGGGATTTTACCGTATTCATTATTATAATGAGACAATACATTGCTGGATGGACGCTGGGAAATTGACGCTTGAAGGTATGATGCATCACTTTATGTAATTGTCAATAGAATTTGAAATTATATTCACTTCAATGCATGATTTGTAACAGGGTAAGATCACAGGGGATCGGCACAATTTCAATTAACATTAAACTAAATTAAGCAAAAGACACTCGATTCTTCTTAAATTTAATTGCAAGGAAACGAACTCCTAAATTACCTAATACAAACGATTTTGAGACGGGCAACACCCTACGCTCCGAGTAACTCTTCCTGCACACGCGTGTTTGTTTGTTTGTTTGTTTGTGTTTAACGGCACATTGACACATAACTGACCATATTAATCTGAGCACTATAATTGTTACATTAGATTATTAAATCATGAAAAAGGGTCAGTACAAGGTTATAAAATGAGAAAGTTAAATCTTAGAATACATGTTTACTTCTTCTCAAGTAAGCGATCAATCTTTTGGAGGAATTGGGTCAAAAAGTTCTGAAAGTGAATTTTCTTGATAAAATCTATCACGAACCTGTGCGAGATAATATTATTCAAGGAGTAAATGTTTGACAGTGAACCATAAATTTCAACCTATACAAAACAGAGAACCATTGCCTTTTAAAAGATGAGAATATGTAACTCTAGAGTGTCCTATTCGACATCTAAGAAGAACCATCTGTTAATGACTGTTTACAAGATATAGAGATGGCGACACATTAAGGCAGGGGTTTATATCATGAAGTGTGTTAAGTTAAAATATGGCTTATTAAAATCACTACTTGGTAACAGAATCTCTAGTGGTTCAGTACTAAAAGATACTTTAGCCAAAGAATTCACTTTTTAGTTTCATTGTATTCATAAGTGGCTTTGGAATCAACACTATTTAATCGACTTGGTTTTTAACATAACATGAAATCGTGACAAGAGTTTTTTATCGTATTATTATCGGATTTCGATTGTCTATTGCTAATAACTACCTTGTTATAATTATGATGCAACATGTATGCCAAGGCTAAATCACAGCCTTTGCTTCAGCAAAAAATATAGATGCATTAGCAGGTAGTCCCATTCTAGATGTATAATGATTGTCAAGGACGGCTGCATTTACTTTCCAACCATTTTTGTAACCATCCGTGTAAATATGGATATTTTACTCACAGACAGAGGAACATCTTCTTCAACATTTTGGATAATATATTTTGGGTCTATTTGAAATTTTTCTTTTACACGAAGGCCGAATGGAATGATTTAATTTTCTTTATGTATTTATTATGCTACAAAAATTTGAAATTTGATATAAAAATAAATTTACTGACATGATTTTACTATTCGATAACTGAATATTGGAGAACAAGTTTTTGTCGAAAGGATTACCTCCTTAAGCTCTACTGGCGATGTTTACATTTCGGCTTCTGTCAAACGATGGCCTTGGTAATATTTTGTATCGACCATTTGTAAATAAACAATACATTATAATGTACAATCATAATCTAACTTTATTGAGATAACGTTTCTGCAAAATTTTTATAAAGTAGAGTGATTCCCAATACTGTTGATTCCCATTCTGTGTTACATAAAAAAGATTTGATTTAAAGCTTTAAGAAGTTTTCAACATGTGGAATAAAGGGAAATATTTTATCCAATAAAATTTTGCTTCATCCACGACAGGAATTTTAGAACTTAATATGTGAAATTCAGATCGTTAATGTTTCGTAATCACCAGAAATAATCAAACCGAGTTTTTTATTTTGTAAATTTAAGTCCATTTTCTGTTGCCCATTTTTAAAATTTTGTTGACGTAATCGTGCATACTTTGGCCGAATGCATTAGAGTAAATCGTCCACATATAAAAAGCAATCAACTTAAGAGTTAAGAGCCTGAGTATTATTGTTATTTTTAGACCAAAGATTGTATCAGAAAGTATGCTACCCTGTGCCACATCTTGTTCTTGTTGGTGGCTCTCCGTTAATCAATAAAAATGATAAAAAATTAACCAAGTCTAGCTTTAAAGTTTCTATCGGCAAGAAAGCAAGAAATAAAGATAGATTGGAAGTTTAACATTTAATCCTATAGATATTTAAGAATACTATGTGTCCATGATGAATCATAAACTTGTTCACGATCGAAAAAAAAAAAAAAACAAAAAAACAAAACCAAGTTATGTTATTTTTATAAAAGCTTCTCTAATAGAGCAATGTCGGGTATCATCGACAGGTTTAGCATCATTTGATAATAAATAAACCTAATTTCCCGTTTAGACCCCAAATTTATTTTACTAGATGTTTTAGTTAGTCTTAAATGTAAAACTAATTCATAAGTTTGTATACTAACTTTGTTTATTAAATGCAATAACGTTCTAACAGTACACAGACTATGTGAGGCAGTTACCAACAACTGAAGGCATTTATCGACAGGTGAAGTAAATTTTAAAAAAAACATAATTATGTTAAACCTGAAAGATGATCATAACATTAGTGTATTTCATTACTTATAACGATCTGTGAGAACAAGTAAGTGACATTACTTTATTTCGTCATAATTTTCCCTTTATATACAGTACTCGCAATAGAAAGGATAGTTTGCAAGCTGATTTGCTGAACTTTCAAGAAGCACGGCATCCCCGGTACAAAGCACGTGCCACTGTCGTGGGCATTTAAGGCACTTGACTCACTGGTGTTTTACATCCGGGGCAGAGTTTAGATTCGTCAAAGGCATCATCAGAATCCATGAACTGCACTCGTACTGTATCACTCTCTGATGAACTACTATTGTCTCTTCTTGAACGTTTCTGTTTTTGTTTAGATTTTTTTCCACATTCCTTTTTTGTTTGGCTTCCTTTCTTTGTGATCTTTTTTCTTCTTTCATTTTCTTCTTTTCTGGTTTTTCTTTTCTTTTTCTTCTTTTCTTTTTAACTTTTCAACTAATTTGGCAGCCTTTTAAGCCTCTCTTTCCTCGAACATTTTCAGTGCCGCAGATCCAGAAATAGCCTTAGGTAATTTTTCTGAAAATCGATTTACTACTTTCCGTTGCTTTGGCTCAGATATTTCCTGTCATACATTTTAGAGATTTTGTTCAGCATTCATTTTGTGTACAGAAAGATTTACCCATAATGATAAAACCCCGTGTCTATAAAATGATTTCGAGTTCGTTCCCTTGAGGTTCATTTAACCAATACGTGCCGATGCCCTGTGGGTAAGATTTATTTAAGTATCGGCTTTAATCATTAATATAGTTTCTAAATTAGTTATAACAAACTAATTCCTTATCACTAAAGAAGTGGATCGGTTTTACAATTAATATTTTTTGGCTCTTACCGCTGTGGGTTTGAATTCCACCACAGATATTGGATTCTTTCATGTGAGGAAGCTATCCAGTTTGCTTATGAACTGGTTCTACTTTTGTGCCAAACGAGCCCATATGACCTCTTCTGTGTTTGTGCGACTTTAAAATACTTCCAAAATCAAGAACTTCGTAGTAACTAAAGCCAGGAATTAAGAAGTCATTTAATTTAACACCAGAAATATTTAGCTTAATAAATGTCTAGTTATAGAAAATAAGAATGGGACTGTAAAAATTGAGTATTACCCGTCAAATTATGTGATTGAAAGCGGCGGTAGTTACGAACGGAAATGGTTAAACTTTGACGAGATGAAATCAGAAATTTTGAAATTATCTGATGGTAGGTACGAAGAAACACTGGAGAAAAGTTACAAATATGTGTTAACAATATACATGTTCAATGTTTCTATGAACGGAGGGTATATTGTTCATTTCGGTCATGGGTTTAGACACACAAATGTAATTATCGTAAAATTATCAGGTTGGTTTGTGTTTCCAATTATCTTTAGATCATTAGAAAATAAAGTTACAATACATTTGTACTAATTTCCTAATAATGTGCAGTCTAAAATGTAAAATTGATTTATACACTATATCAGTTACAAGGGACTTCACTTTAAAAGAAGCGCCTTTTTGTATATTTATAATTTTTTTTGTAAAATATACCATTGTGAAGAAAGAAAGAAATTTCAAGCATCAAGATATAACAAGAATAGATAATAATGATATTAAAACAAATCACTAAAATTTTCTGCAATGCACATTTTCAGAACCACCAAGTGTACCTGTAATTGTTGGATTACAAGACATAGAAAATTGCAAAGACTGTATTGTTGGTGAGCATAATGAGAAGTTCAAACTTGCCTGTGAGATACATGGTGGTTCCCGTCCTCTAACCGTCACAATGACAATAGGAAATGAATCATATAAACCTCTAGAATGGAGTTCAACGACGTACAATGTATATTTTATTCTTAAGGATCATCATCATATGAAACATGTGGTATTTTCAGTTATGAACCATGCATTGTCATCACCTTTAAGTGTCACTGCTAGGATGTATGTTATAAGTGAGTATATCCGTCTTATTAATATGTATATTTAGTGACATATACATGTATATGCGGATATACATATACACAGAACTCTCAGTGCGCATTCTTACGAAAAGTTTTAACAAAAAATAACAAATGTGACATTATGTCATTTTTGAATGTACATTCAAAGTAAACTTCTTATTGTACCCGCGATTCAATTATCTAAATCCCACGTATTCCTATATTTTCAGAACCACCAACGTTTCAATTTTCGATGCCGGAAATTCTAAGAGACGGCGAAGATAATAATATCACATGCATGCTAGATGGTGGGAGACCTAACCCGGGTGTATATTTCATCATTTCCGGCTCAGAATTATCGTCTGCAAACTCACATTTTTATAATTCGACTTCATCTTTACATACTAATGTCATTACGCTGACAACATTCAAGAAAGAATGGAACAAAGAAAACATCACGTGCTGTCGATATAACAAATGGTACAAAATTGCGCGGGAATGTTCATCGCCTAAACAAGTTAACTATATGTGTACGCTTTTTTCTATCATACTTTTTCAGTTAATATGCATAATAGCTAATTGGCTTTTTTGCTGTAAAACATTTTACAGGCTTATAATATTTTTTCTGAAGCCTGGTAATAACCCACATATTATGTTTATTTGTTTTTGTTTTGATTTTTATTTTGTTGTTGTTGTTGTTGTTGATGTTTTTTTCTTTATCCTTTTTTGATTTAAAATACATCTTTTTATTAGTTCCTCCCTCAAATGTGTTGTTAGAAGTCAAAGTTGATGAAGGAAGAATAACCAAAGCCTATGCTGTATGCATTATTTATAGCTCGAACCCAGTCTGTAACGTTCAATTTAGAGCCGCAATCGGGATAATTGGTTCAAAGAGATCCTCAAGCAATATAAGTCTACCCCATGGTGCATGGAGTTCTGTGCTTGAAGTCAACTTGAATGTCAGTGTAGAAGACAATGGGAAAGATGTTACATGTGTCGCTGAGTGTGACCAGTTTACTGTTGACCTTAAGAACACTGTCAAAATACTTCTGCATGGTAAGTTTTTTTTTTTGGTGTTTTTTTTTTTTTCGTTTCTCTTTTGTTTATTTATATCATTCATACAAAAGTAATAATATATCCTTTATATGTCTGGTATAATATGAGTTGCTTAACTTTTAAAAATGACAGATTATTCCAGCATTTGAACCAGTACAAAACGATCATAAGTAATGTTCCATTTATCTATTATAATGATCTATGTAATCGTTGTTCTTTTTCCGAGTGAACTTTATTGTTTGCACGTTGCAACACGTTTGAATTAAAAGTTATGTATAAATGATGTTATAATTTTTTAACCACAGTTATAAATTAATGAGCAGCTGTTTTAGAAGTAATTTTTGCTGTTGGTTTGTTATTTTACGGAAAAAAGGCGAGTGAATGAGCGTACGTGTAAAACTACATAAACAAAACTTAGATAGCTGCTGTCTATGAATGAGCTTGCCAACAGAGTTTTAGATTTATATGACCTTATCAAGCGACATGAACTAAGTTGTAGATTGAAGATCTATAGACTCTGGAGATAAATTTAGTAACTAGACCAAAGCCAAAAAGTCGCTCGAAGAGATTCTTATATGATTATACAATTGACAGTAGATCTATTCTGTTGAGACATGATTTTGTTTGTTTGTTTTATTTTACGCCTTTTCCAACAGTATTTCAGTCATATAGGCGGGTAGTTTCCTAACCATCGTTCCTGGAGAGTTACACCAGTACTAGACTACCTTCCTCCTCGCTAAACTACCAAAGCATCTCCTGGGGATCGAACCCACGCCAGAGAGGTAACTGGATTAGAATTCATCGACTCTAACCCCTCGACCACGGAGGCGGTGCGTTGAGACATGAAGACAAAAGTTAAATGATATAAGCTGAAAAATTTAATCTAGATTAAGATAAATCATAAGAAACTATAAGACAATGAGAAAACGCAAAACTAGAAAAACACGCAATTTAGATCCAGGACCTTATAAATGATTAGCTCATTAGATAGTACAGGGGCATATGTTGTTGTTTTATGAAATATTTGCAGGCAGGGCAGAAAGTAAGACTGTTTTAATTGCGAACAGTTGTGATACCATTTTAACTGACATGCATAAAATTTGAAAAAGAACATCAGAAAATAAACTAATGAAGAACAATAATGTGAGTTTACTCAAGAGAAAAGACAGCGTTTAGGAAAGTAATTTTGGGTTATTGGAATAGTAAATTTATGTTGTGTTTACAAATACGCACTTGGTGCTTTTGCTTTAAATGTTTGTCAGAATGGCGTCCCCTAAAGGCAACATGATAACTCTTGACGAAACCAAAGCACACATTCCGTATGTTCTTATCACTATCCAGTCAAGTGTATGTACAACCATAAACTTTGCCAAATAGCATTATCGTAATATTACAAGGCATTGAATGACATGCACAACAATAAACATAGAAACAAACAAGATGTCTTGTAAATTTTAACAGCATCTTATAAGCTGTTCTATATATATGTTATTAAGTTTTCTCTTTTAATTTTATATTTAAGCTGATCTAGATGGTAGAGAGACAGGAGATGATATGAGTATAACAGGTAAATGCAGAAATAGTCTAACATTGATATGTTTATTTCTCTTGTTGATTGTTTTACGTATATTGATTTGAATGATATTGAATGGAGAGAAAAACACTGGTTAAGAAGAAATCACAAGTGACATTACAAGGTAAACAATTTATAATTGTCTCCTTTTAAATTGTTCATGCGTTATTTTAACTGCAGTATTAACAATAATAGTGTGTAGCACTCTATTTGTCCAACATGTTGTGGCAACGTAAGCTTAAAAGCAAAAAATCGTTTTATATATATCAAACAAGCTCATTTAAACGAATGGGATCAGTCTTGTTCAAATACCACCTTTTCTAAGCATATTCTTTAATTTGTGCAAGGACAACAGAAAACAGTGTGTTAATGATCAAAGCCTTATTAGATAGTTCTCTTTCAAGTTTACTCAATTCGATCGGCCTCTGCAACTTTGAAAATAATCAATTTAAAAAAGGTTATTATCATTGGCCTATGAACTTGTTTAATACCATCTTTGAATTCTGCTTTTTCTGCCTGTTATGCTATTGTTCAGTTTTGTTCTTTTGTAACCAGAATTGTTAGTTTTCTATTGCTACTAGTTTAAATAACCAGAACATATTTCTCCATTTAATCCATTTAAAGGTGGTACATATTCTGCCCTTTTTTGTTTTAAGTTATTTTGACTTTTTTTGGATCATTTTACTTGCCAATAAAATGTGTATGATATAGCAATGTTGATATGTCTACATCTTATTGAGTATAAGTTGAAATTAAAAAAAATATTATACACAGGTCATATAACCAGTTTCATACGTTATGCATGTCGTCATGAAGTAAATACAAAAGTTGCTTTCTTCGAACCATTTGCTTTGGGTTTATATTACTTTGCAAAAACAGTTTCATCTTATTAAACATTAAAAATATATGTTTAAGATAAATGCTAATGATGGGCTTCTGAATATATTTTTGTCCAAATTTGAGTAAATAAATGTCATATTTGGAGTGGCAAACATTCTAGGAGTTTGCTTTGCAAAATAGAAACATTAGATTCCTGAAAGATATGGCATGCAATATATATAATAAGGTAGTTTTCTTATAAGTTTTGTTAAGTGCTAGAATATGTAGGAAAGACATTGATCTTTCTTTCTGTTTACAGGCAAAATCGAAACATGTGTTGGATTAGGATCTATAGTCGGGTCTGTGATTGCCGTTTTAGCTGTTGGAATTCTTATTGGTGTGATTTGTACCTTTTTTATTCTTACTAGAAAAGGAAATCTAAAAGGTATTGTCATTTATAGACAATTGCTTATTAGCTAAAAAATGTGGTTTATAAGCAAACATTGAAAATTATCGATAACATCTTAAACCATTTTTGAATACTGCATTACTAAATAAGTGGGTAGTTTAAGAGACGTGCTTATTTTAAGTAAGCTATCATTTTTAGAGTGGTTTCATTTCGTTTTATCATTTTATTGGTCAGTTATGAAACAATAACATTTTGACAAAAGAATGTGTTGTAATGTCTATAAAGTATGTATTTATACCGATTGATTTGTTTTCTTTTATTACAATGATTGCTCGTGCAAAAGATGTCAAAACAATTACCAGGTTGATTTTGTAAATATGTCAAAATTTTAAAATCAACATACTCTGCTACTCTATAAACATATATACCGTCTTACGTGATAACAATTCTACTTTTAGCTTATTTTGTTAAATATTTTAAATGCTTTACTTTGACGTTTGATAACACAGACTCGAAGAAACAACAAACACCTCATCCGACAATGTCTCAAGATATAGAATTAACTGGACCATCATCTACACTGTAAGTTATTTATAATATTTTACAACTATTTCTTGATATAACATAACAGGTGTTATTCGTGTCTTTCCCAACGATGTTGCCAACATGATATCAAAATTTAATAACATGACATGATTTGATATGAACAATTGAAAATCACGATTTTATAACATGTCATATATGGAAAAAAACAGCTAAAAATAAAGTTTGCCAAACAAGGGAGATGCCTTATTGCTGCATATCATTACTCAATTTTATCCGCTCTTTGACGTTATTGTTTAAATTGATAACTTTGACATTGTAATTAAACTCGTTTGAAAATGATTTATACTAGGGATACCTACGAGCAACTTCAAAACAGAACAGGTACTGAAAATAGGGAAACTTATGATTCTCTTGAAGGTATGTACAATTTCAATTGTTGTCGATTTGGTGTCGTTATCAATTAACACGTATTTAATTCATAATAATTTGGTTTAATATATTATTACTACAATTGTATCTGTCCAATATAGATCGTGTAGCATTGTAAACACACTTATTCGAGCATATTCTCTTTTAAACTAAAATATTTATATATTTTCTAGTAAGTCTGGCATGTATTTATGATGTATACACAACATATTGGCTATTCAAACAAATACAATGTTTTTGTTAGGAAAAGACTAATTACCAGCCATTTCTTTTTCAAAATTCTGTTTCAGCAAACTCCAGCTTACAACCAAACAGGTAAAGTAATCACGAAAATATTGGGTAGAATTTAAAATAAAAAGATATTTAGCTTTTTCTCAGTTTTGATATGAATATAAATTATAAGATGAATTGAATTCTTTTACACGGAAAGTTTTTCATATATTAAATCTTAGCCGATTATGTATGAACAGAAATATAGAATTAATTTATGACTTATCTACGGGTTAGTCTTGCCTTTGTATGACCTTAATATTGAAGCTTATAATTTAGCTTTAATGCGTTCCAATTATTACCAATGATAGGTAAACAAACATAACAAATAAATTATTTGTCAATCATATATTGTTAGACAATGATTGTTAACTGAATCTTTGGCATAATCATGATAACTATTGTTAGTAGATCTGCTATTTTACATTTTACCTAATGCTTTATATGTTCTTTCATATGTCTGTTTTCAGACAATCTCAGTATGAGAGTCTGAATCAGGAAGCAGAGAAATATCACACATATACAGATCTACAACAAAGCCGATAGATCTTGAGAACGTACTGAGATATCCGGAAACTCTGACTTTATAGAATGATTATTTGTATTATTTGTATTTCTGTTATTTTAAAATATATATTATGCTCAAATTTGATATTTGGAAAAAAAACTGATAATATTACTGTTCAGTCTCTTTTGAAATGTAACATAAGCAGTCATGTTTTGTAAATTTACACGTTACGTTTTAAACTCTGAACAGTACAAGTAATCTAAAAATCTTAAAATTATCTGGCAGTTTTTGAAAAAATAGACCAAATTCAATTGACAAAAAATTTGGAATGCAGCTTCCGCGCCTTCCAAACATAGTTTTGACATTCACTTATTCAAATAAGTCATATCAAGGAAGAATTTACTAAATTTCAATAAATTTCTTCCATTAAGGTAGCTTACCCAAAGATGAGTATGGTATAATTTGATGAAAAATATTATTACATAAAAAGTCTTACTGTACATAAATATATTAAGGGGACTTGGGTAAGTGATGAAAAAAGAACTATCTATTCGTATTCTGTTATATATATTTATAACTATATCTTTTGTAATAAGAAAAAATCTGTTTCAAGAACTGTTATTACTGGTATCTATTTTGAAACTTAAGTTTTGCAACATTATTCGTTTAGATTTTAATTTAGATTTTATAAAATGGCAGTTTTATTCATTTTTGATTAGCACTTGCTTAGCACAGATATGTGTAATATCAAAAGTAAATTAATGGACGAAATGTCTTTTTATTTCAGAGAGATAATTACAAATCAAGCTTATATTATCCTTTTTTTATTTTGCTTAGGCGTGTGCACTTTTCATTGGAGTGATATGTTGTTATAGTTATTAGCTTACATCTTCTGTAGCATAAAATATATGAAACATTTGTATGCATTTATTACCTGTTGTTATGTCTGAATGAGTATATTGAAAGGCATTGTCCGTTCGTTTGTCTGTTAATTCATCTACCAAAAAACTTATATGTGAAAATTTTGGTAAGATATTAATTTAATTAGGCTTACATTTCCATGTGAATAAGGATAAAGACTCAGCAAATATCATACTGGTGAAACACATGGACTTTTTAGTAATACGTCTAATATTGCATAATCAAGTAATGATCCTTTGTATTTTTAAAATAGTTTGACAAGTATGTTTATTTTAACAAGGTAACAGGTATTGTTCGTATTAAATTTAGTTTGAATGCCATATATTGAGTGAGAATTCTTTCTTATAATTTTAATCAAGAATTGAACTTCTTTTCATGGAAGAATTCCAGCAAGAAGCAAATATTGAATTGCTTTGTTCATTTCAATCGTAACTGATACATCTGTAAATAAGGATGAGAACATTGTGAATGTTAAATGACATCATAATCGATACTTTTTTTTCGAGTTTTAGGCTCTTAAGAACTTTAGAATTAAGCGTCTGTAATGTTTATTGTCCAAAGACATATTTCATAGAATACAGCAAAATAACTTCGGTTCCTTTAAAAATGTCTTAAAATTGAAATTGTGATCAACTCTCAAATTATTAAAGTAATGTTTTACCACCTATTCAAAGATACTATGGTTTCGATTGGCAATTATGAAATATTGCTAGTTTAGCACAAATGGACATGCATCTTGACATTTCTTGACTGTTAAAAATGTTCGTGCAATGTGAAGTAAAGCCACTGCCTTTTTTAATTTTGCTCTATTGCATTTTACTTAAAGTGAATTGGTCTATTATGTAAAGGTCTGTGATAGGTAATTGATATCATTCATGGCAACAAACCTCAAAAGAATAATATATTTATATTTATATACATGTAAGTCTTGTTGGAAAGTGTGAGATACACGATGTTATATTACATATAATAGCTATATATAGCAGATGATAAATTGTTTTAGAACAAAATATTATTATTCATTTCATATAAATGTTCATATTAAATCTCTCAGACCTCTTACCAACATGTTATATCTAGAAATATTTCATATGAATATCTAAATGATACATTGCTATTGTTGTTTTTTTCAATATTTGAATTAATTAAAAAAAATTGTGTCCATGTAGACCAATTCACCTTAATAATAATACTCATTTATTAGTTTATTGGAGTCATTATAATACACATTAATATAGATGCATTGAAAAGGTTTTTATAAAGTAGATTATCAATTATTTGCTTTACAATATACAATATAATTATTTCTATTTTAAAGAATATCAATTTTCTAATGTCGTATTTGAACTCTTCATCTGCTGTAATAGATTTAAAGTAAAAAGCTTAGAGCCATGCAAGCTTTAACTTCCGAACAAACTGCATAAATTATAATGTTGATAGCTGATATTATCTATTCTGGACATAGAAATTCCTTAAACATTGACTAAACTGTCCTAAATTTTAAGTCAACTTCGGTTAAAAGTATGTTCATCATGACTAAACAATATTCTTATATGAACAAATATATATATTAAGCATTACTACTGAAATTGATGTCGTTCTTAGAGAATCAACAGTGTTTCGTCTTTATGTGAACACAATTGATTGCTCATAGTTTGTTTGTTTTGTTTGTTTTTTTTTGTGTTTTTTTAATCCTTTTTAATTTTTGTCCATGATTTTGTTATAGTAGTGTGTATTCTTCTTATATCTTAATTATATATTTTCAATTACTTTTTTATGAGTACTTGATATCGCTAACGATGTACGCCAAACGGCACGTTGTCCTGCGGCGTGTTGTTGCGAGGTCACGCAATGCACAATGTACCAAATCAGCCACCATAGATAACGATATAGGTTGCGTTGTCGCTATCGACAACGCAATGCACAATGTACCAAATCTTTCGTATGGTGGCTGTTTTGGATCTTTTTTGTGTGTCGCGTTGTCGCTACCGCTAAACGGCTTGTTGTCGAGCCGTCGTCATGTCGTCCTGTCACTAACGGTGCACGCAAAACGGCGCATGTCGTGCGGCGTGTGGTCGTGATATCACATTGTCGCTCAGCTCAAATCGAAGGCTATTCCTATATATATTAGCCACGCGACAGGGCGAGATTGCGACAATGCGTCGCACGACAACGCGCCACTTGGTGTGCTTCGCTGACGAGACGACATTGCAACAACGCGCCCTTTGTCGCATTTCGCGATATAGGTTGCATTGTTGCAATCGACAACGCAACGCGCAAAGTGTACCAATTAAATCAGCCATCATACGAAAGTGGTGGATATTTCTGAGTTAATAACGGATTTCCCGCATTACATATTTCAAGCTAGTGAGGTTTAAAAATAGAATCTATCGATAATCTTCTGTAAGTTGGTGTAAAACAAAAGAAAACAACGTTGACATGTGAAGAGTTTATAAGTGTGGTGCATGAAAAAAAAACATAAAACTGTCTGATCAATTTTAAGTTCAATTTCAATATTCAATTTTGAATAAGCTTGGCAGATATGTATTTTGTTTTCAGGAAATACTATGCTTAAATAAATATTTGAAGCCATCAAAGTCAGCGACGAATTAATGACAATTACAATTCAAAAGGGAATATATATATATATATATATATAATATTTCCGTGATTTCATTCAAGAATTTCTTCGAGCGAAGACAACTTTCTGTCCGTAGAGCATGAATATTGATACTCATAGCAAAACAGTATTTTTATTGATCTTAATTATGTTATTTGTAAATGTGTTTATGGTCAATAAAATTGTTGCATAAATTGCAGTTGTTATTATCATTCAATAATAAATTACATTAAGAATTTATGCTGGCAGGATGAACAGTCCTAGCTAGAATATTGTGATAAGGAACCGTCAGTTGCAAAATGGTTTTGTGATCTTATAATGAACAGTCGTCATACCTTGGATGATGAATTTGTTTGCAGTTTAGGTCTTCAAAATTTGCATGATTAACAGTCCGAATGTAGTAATGAAAAAAATCTGAAATATTGACAAAATGATTAGTCCACCATATTAACCATATGACTGGAGACACATAACAATCATAATAAATGGCACAGAAGCAGATCTTCTAATTTTGGTATTTAAAATGACAGCACATTGGCACATTTTAAGCAAAAGGAAAAGAAACTGTAAGTCTGAAACATTTTGTCTTCAATTCTGAGAATAGCCATCCTATCAGTACATTCTGTGCTTTGATTTCTTTACTTGTTACTCGAACAAACGAACATGTCAGAAAATGGAGATCTACATTGCTCGTTTAAATCATAGCATTTAACATTTATTTCATTTGAAAAACAAATTTTAAAAAATGCAAGTAGAGCTGTAAAGGTATGAAAAATATGTCTTTGAAACCTTTCTGTGTGTTATTCAGTAAAAAATGTTATATACGAATATCTGTGCATAAAAAATGTTTTTGCTTTGGTATCAAAATAGCTGGGGGTAAATGCCCAGTGCAAGGCTTTAAAAGGGATGTTTAAACTGGGCATGACATTCAAAAATGTTTACAAATCGCAAAGTCAAAGTTCTTGCTATTCCCGGTGGCAAATGGGCCGCGGTAACAAATAACTGGAGCAATATTATTCATCAAAAGAAGTCTAAATACAAGTTGAAATGAAAATATAAAAAAAAATGTTTATTCTTAATATCAAATCATATTTATTACGTTGAATGTTTTCAAAAGAGAAATAAGAGCAAATAATCTTTCAAAAACTACAAAGTAACAATGTTTGTATCATTGTAATAGCAGCATAATGTACCTGCCCATCAATCTAAAAAGATCATTTAAAACACATAGAAATAAAAATACTGTTAAATTATATCGAATCAATTACAATTGTCAGGGTGCATTTACCTGCAACCATTTTATGGGGGTGATCAATCATCTTTTTGGGTGCATTTTGGTTGAGATTGCCGCTTTTCATTGAGTCAAAAGACAGAATTTGTAACATAAAGCTACGCTCAGTTAAAATCTCAAGTAGTCTACTCAAGTAGATTTACGCTAAAAGAAAGCGGGCTATTTATCTAGATGGGTATTTTTATTCACTTTAAGTTTTGATAATCTGTTTCATTTATAACAGATTTTATACATATTTTAAAATTGTCAGTGATTAATTAATTAGTGTTATAACATTTCTGCTATTTTGTCACTGTTCACTGGTGCGCCATTTTGTATCACGGTGTTTTCAATGCTTTTCAAACCTTTCAAATGTTGAACGTGCGTTCGTAATAAAAATGAAAAAAAATGTTACGGTCTTCAACTTTCTGAAGCATATTGCGACAAGACTGATAATAGATTCCGATTAAAGACCCAGCTGGTAAACCCAAAACTGTTATTATCCCTTTTGTGTTTTTTTCTTGTGCCTAGTTACAGTTTTCAATAAATAACTCATTGATCATATAGCTAAGCAATCTCTTTCTTGTTCTGCATTTTGGAATTATTACAGTTGAAGTGATTAAATATTTTGTATGGGAGTGAATACAATTTGTTTAAATTTCACTACTTTTATGACAAAAATATGGCTTCATCCGCCAGGAAATAATCGTAAAAATGCTCTAAATCAATTATGAAACAAGTGTTTGCCCTTACTAAAAGCAGAAAAGAGTACTCATTTGTAAGAGTTACTGTGCCCTTAAGTAACATAAAGAAGACAACTCTTGATGTGTAGATGAACATTAGTGATTACCTCCTTTGGCAGATATCTGCACTGATAAAGGGAGATCACTGCGTAGGAGAAGGGATCATAAGATGCATGAGTTGTTAACCTTGTCATACATATTTGGGTGATGTGAGGTCATTCTGGAAATATAGGTGCCATGATTACACAAGAGCGATCAGAAATCACATGTGTCGCCTCATGATTGCCAATTTCATGTTGGGACAAGTTTTGTGACAGACGGACAGACAGACGAACTGTGCACAACTAGACTTGGTACTGATCATTCCTGTAAAGTTTGGATAAAATTGCACCAGTAGTATATGAGGAGTAGTCCGGACAAGCTTTTGCGTATCTGGCAACACACAGAAAAAAACACCTTTTTATCAAAGGGCCATAACTCGGCCAAAAATCATTCAACCGAAAAACCCGTGCAATATGCGAAAGGACTTGAGCTACAGATCAATCCTGTAAAGTTTCATTGAAATTGCATTAGTGGTATAAGAGAAGTAGTCCGGACAAACTTTAAAATTAAAATTATTAAAGGGACATAACTCTGACAAAAATCATTGAACCGGAAAATGCTGACAATATGCACAACTAGACTTGGTACTGACCATTCCTGTAAAGTTTGGATGTAATTGCACCAGTAGTTTATGAGGAGTAGTCCGGACAAGCTTTTGTGTATCTGGCAACACACAGAAAAAACACCTTTTTATCAAAGGGCCATAACTCGGCCAAAAATCATTCAACCGAAAAACCCGTGCAATATGCGCAAGGACTTGAGCTACAGATCAATCCTGTAAAGTTTCATTGAAATTGCATTAGTGGTATAAGAGAAGTAGTCCGGACAAACTTTAAAATTAAAAATTATTAAAGGGCCATAACTCTGACAAAAATCATTGAACCGGAAAATGCTGACAATATGCACAACTAGACTTGGTACTGATCATTCCCGTAAAGTTTGGATGAAATTGCACTAGTAGTTTATGAGGAGTAGTCCAGACAAGTTTTGTGACGGACAGACGGACGGACAGGTGGACGGACGGACAGACAGACAGACGACGGAGAAGTGATCCCTATATGTCGCCACTATTCCGTAGAGGCGACACAAAAATAGAATCCCTTTAGGACGCACGAAATAGCAAAACTTTGCTGCAGGTTATTTCCATATGTGCTTAATTTGATTTAACTCGGTGATCAAGCTGGCCAGTCAAGGCGCACAATACCCTCCCTTTGCCGGTAATTCTGGACCACTCTGGACCAGAGGGGACAGACATTATTGTCCGTTAAAATAAACTGATCGTTCACTGCCCCGCTATACAGCCTAACCTAGGTGTCTTATATCTCACCAATGTACCGCTGACCAGTCAATGTACCTCTGTTTAGCACAACATGGACAGGTCGTCCGTCTTCTCGCCATAACTGATCTACCCACATAGCGGTCATGTTCAGCAATATTAAGGTTTCCGTTTTGAAAACTTTCTCCATGCGTTTGTCAGTAAAGTCTTAGCAAAAGCTAGATATCATTGACGAGTCCAGTTTTATCTGATCCACATAATATGCTTCCTCGATCATTCCAAACGGGCCCGGTGGTGACGACGAGTCAATTGAATTTTTAAAAAAGGTCTCCTTGATCGCAGATTTACCCCTGCGCACCCTTCTATGCGCCGTTCGAGTACAAACATTTACCCCAAAAACATGAAAAAGGTCATTACGAAGATGCGTTACTTTTGCAAACCGTTCTCGACGGGACCGAATACTCAAGTATTAGTATTGTCAGCCTACGGCATGTATCTTGACAGGTTAACCATACTGCTGCCACGGCTCTGAGTTTAATGGTGTGGTAAACATTTAGCGCCACACTAACCTCACGATGTGTGCCCCTCTCCTTTACAATCCGTACAGCCCTAACCATCGCCGCTTCACTCAGATGCCGTCGTCCTATACTAGCATTTGTCATGTCAAAGTAACCAATATAAAAAGTCTAACCTTTGAATTACCATACATTTAAAATATCGATTTATAAGGATAATAATTAGTCTCTGCTCCCACTGAAGAAAACAAGAGAAAACGAGGGATGCATGCTTTTCGTGGCCAATTGGCGAGATCTACCCGATATCTTAACATTTTGCATTTAGGTTTGGCGCGTGTAAAAAAGGCTGAATCAAACTATGCGAAATCAGTAATGATATCACTTTTCTACTTTTTATTATATGGTGAGAAACTTTTGCTGCTTAGCAAAAGTTGAGTACCATAGTATAACTGTAATAACATGCACAAAAATATTAAATCGAATCGTCCGGTAAGCTCAGTAGGTATAGAGCGTTGGACTGTAAATCGGACGATGTGTAGGCTCCTACGGGGTAAACACTTAAAAGAAGGAAAATAATATTTTTCAAATACCCGACTGAACGGCGATTCCTAGCATTTTTTTTGGAAATGCTTATACTTTTATACAGTCATTCGCACTGTACCTTTGCTCTGGCATGTGCAGAAGTTATCAGTTCCTTTCTAAAGTGAAGGCACTAAGCGCTGGTAAACTGCTCGACAGTCTGTCCAGGAATTGTGCTCTAGTGAATTCAAAATGGTTTAATGCCGTGATCTGGAGGGTAAACTACCAACGCCACCACCACCTTTAGGTAAGGTTAGGTTCCTAACAGTTACAAAGTGCGCCGATGACAGTTAACACGGGCACACGACGTGGAGATGTATTCGGAGCAGGCCTATAACATGACGAGAAGAATTCAGTTTCGATACGTTAGTCTTTCAACTAGTTATTAGCTGTGTCAAATTGTTGTACACCGTTTGTCTCTGGATGTCTATCTGTCTTCTGTGTGTCTGTCAGTCAATATGTCTGTCTTTGCAAAAAAATGAGATTTTTTTGGCTTTGTGAGAATACGTATTTGTTGTTTTTGTCTGTTCGTCTGTTTTAAATGTAAACTCCTTCTGTTTTGGGGATGAATGAGTTAGCTGTATGATCAATTTCTGAAGAAAACTTAAGGTGCTTTATTCAACAAGCCAAAGTGAAAACTTGACTATGGAGAAAACAGCGTACGAGGAATTTTCTTTTTATAATCATTTTGATCACGGAGCTCTTTTTGATAATGCGAATGTTTTTCGCCATATAGTACAACCTTATTTATGTTTTGCCATACCATTTGGCACACTTTTCGTAAGAATTCATTTAACAGCTTGTGTATCCGGAACGCAGGAATGTGAGCACGTTCTTTAAAATATGTGTGTCCGTTTACTTTCTGCTTTTCTCGTTAGGATTATATATGGCACAGATTCGGCGTTACTATTTCACTATTAAGTACTGCATAATTTTCTACATTTTAGTATAAAGACTTGTTCTAAATTTACATTAAATTTATTGATTAATTGTATGGTTTACTTGATTTACTGAATTTTTTTATCTGAAAGGCCCTGCTCACACAAAAAGTAGAAATTTAGCAATATAAATATGTCACATTTTTTTATAAAAAATTAATTGTCACATCTGATTTTATACAATATATTTTAAAAATCACAGAAATTCAGAGAGTAGATATACGTTAAAGATACAATTTACAGCAGTATAATAAACTACTTGCGCTAAACACGAGAAACATGACTTGGCAACTACGACGTACTTGTACACATGTAGATAAATACTTGAAATACAGTTTAAAAAGATATGTCTTGTAATGTATAAACTAATAATTCCAAAAGAAACGCCTAAACTTAGAAATGCAAATGAAATCCTAAACTTAGAAATGCAAAAGAAACAACTCAACTTAGAAATGCAAAAGAAACCACTCAAATTAGAAATGCAAAAGAAATCCCAAAACTTAGACATGTTAGAATTGCAAAAGAAACACCTAAACTTAGAAATGCAAAAGAAACCACTAAATCTAGAAATGCAAAAGAAATCCCAATACTTAGAAATGCAAAAGAAACCCCTAAAGACTTACTTTGATTAAGTCCATTGACTTACCTAGATAATTGTATACATACCAAATTACCAAAACGGAAAAAAGAGTACATATCAAAATATGTTTACAGTTTGGATGCTCCTATATTTACATTCCTAAATTATTCGATATGTTTGCAAATAAAGTCACACAACAAATTTTCAATAAAAACGATGTTAACGAAGTTGAAACCATGCTCTAGTGACACATAGTATATACTAGTATGAGGCATCACGTCAATGAATACATATTTACTTTGGTCAAATCTATCAGTCATTTAAATTGATCATTTTGATGTTTTTAATCTATTTCCTTACTTACATCTGTTTATGAATTTCCAATCCCTGATTGCACTGTAGTGACATTTTCTTTCTTTAAAGGAAATTCATTGAGGCCGAATAGCCTAAAACATGAAATTTTAATGCCCTACATAGATCACTTGGGGCACTTGAAACGGAAAGATGTAGGAATTGTTCTCAGAAATACTAGTACATTGAAAATTGTGTTTTTCTGCTACTTTTTTGCACTCTATTGGTTAAGACCTACATCAAATGGAACATTAATATTTAAAATATATTTACAGTCACATCATGTAAAAAATAAACACTCAGTGTAGTCCCTATAAAACGAAAATAAATACTGACAGTTAAAGGTTGTACGTTTACAGAGTTCTTCAGTTCATTTTCGTGAGGCGAACATATTTAACAGAAATATCAGTTATCAAATTGAAATGATGAGTAAGAAACCTAAAGATTTGAGTATGGAATGTGCCTTACGTACATTGTTTTACTGTACACGGTTCCAGAAAGAAGGCAACAAGTAAACACTTCTGTGCCCATTTTGGTCTGAATCCATCGGTAGTTCTAGTAACTAATTGTTCACAAGAACACCCCAAACCCTATCTTCTACCCTTTTATATTAACTAATATTGAAACTCATAGAATAAAGAAAAACTCGCGGGCACATATTAATACACGAGCACGCACACATCTAATTAATTCACAAAAATACATGTACATATGATGTTATCATTAAAATTCTAAAACTAGTCAAGTATAACAATAATAAAAAGTATAGTATGTAAGTCCTTCATATCACAACTGGTATCAACAAATATCAAAACGTCATCTTCTGTACAACAACCGTTGCCAAGTAACAGAAGAGAAAGGTTGAGGTCACATAGACCCCCCTTGACCCTTTAGAGTTACACAGATCTTCACTGCAAGCACACACTTGTGGAGTCTTGCATCCATCCCAAAGGGCCGCGTTTGATTTGTCACGATAATAGTCTGAAATTGAAGATAATAAGAAATACAGCGTATCGCCTAATTTCATTTACTGAAGCAATAAAGCAATTCAGATAACCTATCAACTGCCCGTATAAATTTTGACTGACATGGTTGTTTCCTCGGCTATGTGTTGAGTGGATTTCTTATTTGGGTTCCTATTTCGTTGGTCTTGATGGATCTTATCATTTTCAGAATTTCTATCCTTACACAAGTACATTTTCAGTATTAGAAACTGTAAAATGTTGTACCGTGTTTCATCTTATAGTATTGTCCTCTGTTTTCTAACCGGTAACGTTCATTAAAATACTCAAGGCGTTGAAAATACGGTGATGACAAGGGTGTGAGAGATGTTATGAACCCCATTTGGCAAGAAAGTTTGTTGGTCAAATGAAAAAAGAGAGATCCATCAGAAGCAGTGGAAATGATAATGAAGACTTGGTTTGATTGAATCTGTCGTTTAGAGATAATGTGAAAGTGCAACGACTCCCACGCCCCATACGTACTTAACCCTTCACTTCATATAGACCTGCGTTGACGGCTCTCACCGACCACCCCCCCCCCCCCCCTTTGAGGCCTCAAATAGTGAAAAAATGCCCTATTTAGACACCAAACACTTGTTTTTGTTTGAGAAATGGTGTTAATAATGTTAGCACTTTTTCGGCGCCATCGCCTATCAAATAGATACATCAATGGGGTGCCAGAGGGGATGTGCCCCTTTCTGCTTGGGGGATTGAAGGTGGTCAGCAGACCTCTTCATCCCCAAGAAAACTGTTGACTTGTGAAGGCTAAAAATGGCCTCAGATCAACCTTAAGGTAACATGTTACCAACGCTGAAAAGCCTTTGACTCTATCTCAATCCATTGAGAAGGTGCAGCAGTTTGAAATCAGTTCTGATGGAAAAATCAACGCAAAATAGTGATTTTTGGCAATTTTGAGATGTCACCTCGTTGCCATGCTAACAGGCAATTCAGGATTGAATATGCCGTTACAAAGGCTATGGTCAAGTCAACATTTGTGCCAAGTTTGATTAGTATTGAAGCCTATTTTATAGTTCATAGCAATTTGAACTTGTAACAGGGGCTTTTCAATGAAAACAGCCATTTTTCACAAAAATCTCATGAAATAATGGGTCAAGCAGTATACGATCTTTAACAAGCGGCGTCCAGTCTACAATACTACATGTGTTAGAATCAATTATCTCAAAGGACCAGAAAAAATAAACAACATCTAAGTGCTATGGTGGCTGATTTTGAACGCTTTTGTGCGTCGTGTTGGCGCTAGCGACAACAGGACAAAGCGCCAAACGGTACGTTGTCGGACTTTCGTCTTGTCGTCCTGTCGCTAACGATGTACGCCAAACGGTCGTGTTGTCGCGATGTCACATTGTCGCTCGGTTCAAATCGAAGGATTGGCTTATAAGCCAAGCGACAGGGCATCGCGACAACGCGCCGCACGACAACGCGCCGTTTGGCGTGCTTCGCTAGAGACAAGACGACAGTGCGACAACGCGCCGTTTGGCGCTTTGTCGTGTTGTCGCTAGCGACAAGACGAAAAGGCGATAACGATATAGGTTGTGTTGTCGCTATCGACAACGCAACGCGCAGTGTACCAAATCAGCCACCATAATGTGCAGTACGGGGAGAAAACTTGTTTGGCCTTTGGAATATGCCGTTTCTTCCTTATTCGCATGTATATTAAGGCTGAATTTGTTTTATCGTGAGCATCACGCTATACCTAAAAAAAAATCAAAGCGGTAAAATTATGTTGCGATTAATCAAAAGACGTGTAACATAGAATGTATATGTTATTTATGATAAATACATACTGTACTACATACATAAACCGAATAAATTCCCCATAAATAAATACTGTACTACTTACATAAACCGAATAAATTCCCCATAAATAAATACTGTACTACGAGGGGTGTCCCAGAATTACGTGGACTTTTGCTGTAACTCAAAAACTACTGAAAATAAAAACAAACAAAATTAACATGAACAAAATGCAACTTTATTGCATTAGTACAAAAAATTTCAAAGTTGTCCGGCAACAGGATCAGTGTCTGAGGGCAGGGTAATGAGACAAGGGGTAGCGGGTGCGGGGCGGTCCATTCCGACGTTACGACGTCATTCCGGTGGCGTCGCTAGTTGTTAATAAATGCGTGGAGTCGAATGTCAGTTTTTCTCAACATAGTCGCCGCCTAACTCAATACACCTATAATGTCGATATATCCACTGGTCGTACACTGTAATAATAATAATAATAATCGTAATAATAATAATAATAATAATAATAAAGCATACAATAAACTTTTGTAACGATAATAGTGTTAAAGACGACGGTGATAATGCTGACGCCGTATTATTATTATTATCATTATTATTTATCATTATTATTTTTATTATTATTATTATTATTATTATTATTATTATTATTATTATTATTATTATTATTATTATTATTATTATTGTGGAGTTTATTTCGTACGCAAAGACAATGTGCGTTAACAAGGGAAATAACATATCATGCGCACTGCTTACTATAGCAGTTTGAGTTCACTTTCTTAAAAGCTGAAGCGGAAAAATTGCGTTTAAAATAATAAATTGTGATTAGCTTAATTTTTAAAAATCATTTTTTTTAAACACAAAATTATTGCTTACCCTTGAATAGTACATAGCATTGTAACGCCTGTCCCGATCTATGACGTCCTTGACTTCCTTAATTGACGCCGCAGTCAACGTTGACTTTCTCCCACGACCCTTGTCGTCTTCAATGTCCTCCCGGCCGTCTCGAAAACGCTTATGCCACTTGAAAACGAGTGATCGACAAACAGGAGGTCTCACTTTTGCAGTCTCCAACATTTCCTGCGTCTATATTGGTGTCTTCCCAAGATTAACCCAAAACTTGATGATAGTCCGATGTTCCGCGTAATCGGTGGACGTCATTTTTTTGTTAAATATCCAAGAGCAACGGTTGTCAGTTGTCCGCTGGTAAACAATAACGGAAACAGCTATGACGTCAAAATTTCAAACGAACGTTCATATGATGTCACTGCATATGCTTACGACGTCGCGCCATTTTTTACGTATAAATACGCAAGATATACGAAAGTAAAGACAACTTATTAATACAAAATATTGGACTGCCCCGCCCTGCGCATACTGCGTTACTATAGCGACGTAAAATATAGAGAAGCAATGTTAGAAATTTAAAAATAATGGACATATTCATTAAGGATATGTTAAAGGTATTGTGTACAAAATTGCTAAAAAATGCATTAAAAAGTAAAAAAGTTATAGCAAAAGTCCACGTAATTCTGGGACACCCCTCGTACATACATAAACCGAATAAATTCCCCATAAATAAATACTGTACTACATACATTAACCGAATAAATCCCCCATAAATAAATACTGTACTACATACATAAACCGAATAAATTTCCCATAAATAAATACTGTACTACATGCATAAACCAAATAAATTTCCCGAAACAAATATTATATTGCTATTTTAAGTACGGATTTATAATATAACAATTAAGCAATGATTTCACGTATTAGCCATTCGCTTTTAAGGAGATAAACAACCATACTCAGAGAGTCAATTGATCACAATGACAATGATGTATACATATGCAGCTTGAGCAACAGAAAAGAAAAATCTTTATAAACTTTAAAAAGTCTACGTTATTCCTATTTTAATCTATAAGCATTGTAGTCTTGGCAATGCATTTATTTTTTTATATATTGTCGAAATACAATACTTCTTTCAAACCATTTGGGGTCAGTTACACAAGAGAATTCGTTTATCATAGAGAAAGAAACAACACAACATCTTTGAACAGGAGCAGGATTATAAGATGCTTACATGTTCCCTTGTCGTTTATAGCATAGCCACGTATACAGCTGGTTCCACCGTTCCATGAATTAACCAATGTGCTTCCACTGACTGTTGTATCCTTGTGGGCATCAGCATTAAAGTTTTTCTCTCCACACGTAGATGGGGAATCCTGAGAGTTACACTGGTAACACTTCAAACGCCCACAACCTTCCACAACTTAAAAATATATTCTCAAACATCTTCATCATACAGCAGAAAGTAAGTAATAGTTAGACAAAAAATAAACGATATAAAGGGAGCGACATGGAAACGACTGTAAAAGAATCAAAAGAGCAAAGAAAAATCTCTTTCAGGGGTAGGTTATTCAAACAGCATGGTGATGACCCCTGAGTTTGTTTTCATAACAATTTGTTTAAATCATGATTATCTTTAATCGTGCGATTTAAGAAAATTCAAGAATTTTCTTCTTTGCATTTTGAAATACAATTATTTCCTATCATAGGGACATATATTCTACCTTAAACAGTTACAGTCGCTCTGGGACTACGTTGCTGAGTGCGTTTAATTTTTATAGACTTCTACTTATTACATAAATAATTAATTTTCAAACATCTATGAATTTTATGTGCTTTTTTGTTTTTTCAGGACAAATTAAAAACGTCCTAAATATCTTGGTGTATACCTATATTCTACCTTAAACAGCTACAGTCGCTCTTGGACTACGTTGCTGAGTTTGTTTAATTTTTATAGACGTCTACATATTACATAAATGATTAATTGCCAAACATCTGTGAATTTTATGTGTGTGTTTTTTTTGTGTTGTTGTTGTTTTTTGTTTTTGTTTGTTTGTTTTTTTTTGTATTTTCAGGACAAATTAAAAACGTCCTAAATATCCCGGTGGCTCTAATATCTGCTTAAAATATTTGTACATTTCCAAAACTGTTTAAAGTTTCACCGATATTTTTAAAGAAAATATTTAGTAATCTTGTAATTCCTTCTCATGCAGAAAATCATCTCAAAAATTAAAAAAAAAATAAAAAATGATAAAATAAATTATCAAGAAATCAATCAATCAACATTAGAAAAAAATAATAGTTAAAAACAATTAAATAAATTGTGTTTATTTTTTCATTACTACTTACCTAAACAAATATACGTAAAAACAACCAACCGCGTCAACTCCTTTGTAAAAGCCATTTCTTTACGTTATTCCGCTCCTTTTCTCTGGCAATATTTGCGTCACAAAATACCAGCGTTTCTGCCAAAAATTTTAATCAACTAATTCCCTATCGAACATTTCATTATTTATATACCTGATATGTGATGTATAGAAACGAGGATCGGGCTTCCAAGAATATTGGGTTTAAAACTTCTAATTTACTTCTCTTATTGGACATTTACAAGATACGATGTAATCGATACTGAAAATGACGTCATAGTCTAAATGTGAGTTGTCGAACTACATGGGACCATCCCTTAGTCTAACTTGGCACTTCATATTTCCATATACATAGCATACCCCGTAAATCTTAAATACTACGATTTTTAGGTTATATATCTATATACAGTATAAATTTGAAAGTATTATCTATTTTGCACTTCATGTAAAATACTTAAATAACAATTTGTATCTGATATTATCAAGTGGACCCCCTATTGACTCCTCCCCCAAAATAATGAATCTCAATATGTTTCAAACGGTTTTGGGTTGATTTTTTCTCTTTTAAGAACCAATGGAACTTAAGACAACTATTTGTATATTGTTAAGGCCCCCTTTTCAAAGGTCCATTTGAAGTTTGACTACTGACGAATCATTCATCGCAAAGTTGTTGCCAGATTTCAAATTTTAAAATAAAATCACGCATTATATCATTTTGTTTGGTACTGAAAGAACATCAAGGTATACCAGTCCGCTTTGAATTAATATTTTAAAATTTGTTTTATTGACTATACTACACGAACTAAATATTTACATAATTATGTAAAAGCTAAACTCATTCTCCTCATATAAACCTCGGCTTGTTGCACAATTATTTAGGCTTAAAATCAGTTTTCTTCACGCATCATCTATTAGCGGCCTTTGCTTTATTGTGGTGACAAAGAGGTATTTTGTACTTTGATTTTGAAGATATAGATCAACTTATCTAATTGAAAAGAAGTGGGCATTACGATTTCAAAATACCTATATTTCCCTTATCAAGGTGGCAAGTGGTGGTATAAATCACTTTTGTTATAATTCACAATTTAATCAATGTTTACAAGGCTCTCTTAGATTCTTTTGTTTAATATTATAGTGTTAAATCTTGAGGACAATTGATTGCAATAAAACTCTATATTGATATATCTTATACATAGATTATAAAGAAGAAAACGTGACCAAGTAAACGTTTTTCTCTCCAAAAAAGCAAATTCAGTGATAATTTGAAGGTCCTTCTAACTAAAGTTTAAACAGGCTAACTTTATCAGGCGAATGTTTTTTTCTTTATTGATCAAAAATGAATTCTTTGTTTTGCGTAGTTGGAAAATACTTTTTGTGAAAGATAACGTTTAGTTTCATTAAGTTGAAAGGGGAACACGTGTCTCGCTTAAGTCTTAAAAGTTAAGGAATATACGATGTGTATAATATTTATTTATGTACATGTATTTATGGAGATAAAAGGTTGGCAGCTCTGTTTCGCCGAATAAAGCTACCTGGGCGGCCTTAACCATTGTACATTTTTGATATTGCAGTCCAGGAGACACAACCTTTTACACTTTGGATCACTTCATAAATTTCGAGCTGGTATTTTAATAGGGAAAAAGGTTATCAATATATATAAATATATGTGTATTTTAGCTGATCAAAACATAAAAACATTTTCAATATTTACAAATAATTGCTTGTTGGGAAAGAATTGAAAATATATAATTTGTTATGGATTTTACTTTTTAAATCGTATTGATTATCAAAGTTTCAAACTTAAATGATATTGTCTTTGGTTATATAATAAAACCACCAACAGAAGCAATATGCATCCAGATTCAAGCTAATTTTCATGAAAATTTTGAAAATGTATTTAAAATTAAAATATTATGAAGTGAACAAACAAAGTAATTTACGCATTGCAAATGGTACTTACAAATCAGGTAAACACCAATAATGCGTCAAAATATGATAAAAATAACCCTTACTGCGTTAGTCATGCAGTAGAAAATATGGTGATAAATACTGCAAAATCAGTCATCAGTCGCGCAAAACATTTAAATTATTTCTTGAATCTTGAATCATTTTATTTTTATAAAAAATTTCGTACATTTTTCCACAAATTTTATTTCCTTGAAAATTTTTTGCTCATCTGGAGGCATGCAGCTTTAAGATACATAGCATACATAAATATAAGTTACACCAAAATATATACATTTATTTTACGCTTTCGAGTGGATTACGTCACTCGTGAGAATACTGTTGTTAAAGATAAAATTTTATCTTACACATTAGCAAACAAATATCCTGTTTATAACATTTACAATTTTGTTATTGTTATTATTTCATGGTCATATTCTTAATAAAACATGAGACACAGTGTATAATACAAAAGCTTTCTTTTAAGATAACTTAAATGTAATAACATTATATACATATTCTTTGATTATTATGTAGGAGAGACTATGTGAAATGTCGTAAAATAAATATCAAGTAAAAACATATTTATCATTTTATACTAAATTTATTAAGATAATCTTCAAGACATAATACACAAGACCTGTATATCGGGAGTTAATCATTTTTCACTTAAGATTTGTTCCATAAACATTCTTATTTTTGAGTCATAGCTAGGTTTTGGACTTATTTATTTCCTAGCAATATTATGACAGAAGCTTTGAAATTGAAGAAGTTACAACATACACGTGTAAGTCATAAGTCTCTTTTCTGTGAAACGTTCTAAATTTCTAGCTCAGTTTTGGTCATAAGACTGATTTCAGAAGAAAGACTTTCTAAAAATCGCAACATGAGGTGTCACAATCAAATTATATTTTCGCCTTCCATCAGTACTTTAAGTACTTTGATACTGTGTAGAACGCTAGTTGATAAAACCTGTTTTCGTTTATTTGAGTTGTCAACTTTATGCTAATTAGCCATATATATTTGTCTGTTCTGAACAATATGATAAATATTTTGTTTACTGCCATACTTGACGTAAATAAATTCATTTGATACTTTGATATATGTAATTAATTAGTAAAATGATAACAAAATTAAAATTCCATATCATTTGTTGTTTTTTGGTATTTTAACAAATCATATGTATACATGTACAATTATTGTATAGTACGGTGTGTCTGTTATTTATTTGAAAGCGAATTGCTTACATCAGTCAATTTACACTAACTGAAATGTTTGCTCTAAGGATAAAATTGAAAAAGAAAAAACAACAAATAGATAAAATACAGAATCCCTAAAGAAAGCCCAACACGGCAAAATTGAAAATGTTGCAGGCTCGGTTTGATTGAGCCTGTTCATGGACGGTAATGGAAATTGCAAGTTACCGTCCACGCCCCCTAGCACCGGCTTAAGCAGAATTCAACATTTAAACACTAAGATGGTGAAATTTGAATTTAGAAACATCCGCAGATGTGTTCATACGGCGGTTATCATGGAACCTTCAATGTGACACAGTAGTGTCATTCCATGAAAAGCGGCGTATGGTCCCCAAGTAAAAGAATGCGTGTGCCCTAAACGAGAAAACAATGGGCGGAACTAAATAAAATGGAATTTTGAAAGGGGATCTGAGGTTATGAAGCCTGCATATCACAGATAAGACGTCAAAAGACAAATTTAAAAAGCAGGCAACATATCCTAAGGGTGATTCAACATTATTCAAGTAGGAATATTGGAACCACCCAACTAGAAAATGCCGAAAAGTTGAAACAAAAAATACCACAAGCACAACAATAATGTCGTGCTGAACGATCTTCAAGGATCGAAAATATAACATCATTGATTAAATGTACGGGGAGACTTTTTACAGCCGCCACACGGCACAAATAACACGGATGTGATCATCAAATAGATAAAATACAGAATCCCTAAAGAAAGCCCAACACGGCAAAATTGAAAATGTTGCAGGCTCGGTTTGATTGAGCCTGTTCATGGACGGTAATGGAAATTGCAAGTTACCGTCCACGCCCCCTAGCACCGGCTTAAGCAGAATTCAACATTTAAACACTAAGATGGTGAAATTTGAATTTAGAAACATCCGCAGATATGTTCATACGGCGGTTATCATGGAACCTTCAATGTGACACAGTAGTGTCATTCCATGAAAAGCGGCGTATGGTCCCCAAGTAAAAGAATGCGTGTGCCCTAAACGAGAAAACAATGGGCGGAACTAAATAAAATGGAATTTTGAAAGGGGATCTGAGGTTATGAAGCCTGCATATCACAGATAAGACGTCAAAAGACAAATTTAAAAAGCAGGCAACATATCCTAAGGGTGATTCAACATTATTCAAGTAGGAATATTGGAACCACCCAACTAGAAAATGCCGAAAAGTTGAAACAAAAAATACCACAAGCACAACAATAATGTCGTGCTGAACGATCTTCAAGGATCGAAAATATAACATCATTGATTAAATGTACGGGGAGACTTTTTACAGCCGCCACACGGCACAAATAACACGGATGTGATCATCAAATAGATAAAATACAGAATCCCTAAAGAAAGCCCAACACGGCAAAATTGAAAATGTTGCAGGCTCGGTTACACAGTTTGATTTGTTATTCAATAAGGCAAAGGTCAATAGAATGAATAAATTAACATATAATAACAATTTAATGTATTAATTTAACATGCATAAATGAGTTTTATTATGGTAACAATATTAGAATCTACAGCATAAACAATATACACAATTAGGGAGTGGATAATAAATAACCATCTTGTACTTTATTCTAATACGAGTATTAAAATCACATATATAATAATATATTTACTGGTATTGTGTGTGGTATTTTTGTAAGTTCATAAATAAAATAGAAATACAGTCTGCGTACATCAATTCTAGACATGAAGATATTATCCGAGACGTTAGTCTCGGGTAAAAGTATTTTTTCGAGGAATATTTTTTTTAGTGTTACTCACAAACCCATGTGTTATTTATTTTATTATCTCGAACAATAACTGTGATGATCCTTGTATATATTGCTTGCAATGTATACATAGTTATAACTACATTTCCCACAATCGTCCGACAAACGACTTTGCTGAACAACACCCACTTCCGGATAAAACCGCCATAAAAAGTAGTTCCTCATTCTGCAGTATTTCTTATATTCCGATAACTCATCATTATCGTTTCAAAGCTTTATTTTCCTGAAGATTAACGGTAAATTGATATGTATATTCAGCATTAATTCTTTTCCTTTTACATCAGCAGCATTTCGTTTGTTTTGTTGTTGTTTTGGTGTTTTACACGTGTAAGAATCAGAAAGAGTAAGATTTTCCGTCGTTGTTGAAACGTTTAAACGACGTCATGAATCATGATCATCGAACATTTTTCGCCATTTTGTTTGGTCATATTATGGTGCATAAGATGTGCGCTGTTGTCAGTCTAGCGCCATACGACAAAAAAACCGGATAACTAATAAATTGGTCATGTGATGATTCAATGAAATAATACTCAGATCTTATCATAAGCTACATGAAAATCTTTTGGATAAGCACACTTCCGAGAAAAGAGCAGACGAGAGTTGTTGCAACAGTCGTCGCCATCGAAACCGGTCTTGAGGCTTTAGAATTGCACAAGTCGTTGCTGCAGAAACATTTCTGAGGCGTCTCGCATCCATCATGCTCAAACTCGTTTGATTTGTCCCGGAAGTAATCTGAAACATAATATATCAGTTAATAACATGTGCAGTTAATAACATGAAAGATAATATATTAGTAAATAAAAAGAGAAAGGTAATATATCACTTAATAACGGTATCTACTAAATTAAGAAGTTTTGATATACGTGATGCTCGTGTCATTGTTGGTGGCAAAAGCACTTGCTATGTGCTACTAAATTAAGAAGTTTTGATATACGTGATGCTCGTGTCATTGTTGGTGGCAAAAGCACTTGCTATGTTTTGCGTAGCAGTACCTAAAAATGATGTCCCTTACTTCATCCGTGAGTTGTAAACTTTTGTGGGAGTTTTTAACTTTTCATTCGTTCCAACAGTACCTGGTAATTGTAATGGTTTTGTTTTGGTGCCAAAATGCCCGGGGATAATGGCATGCTTTTAGCGAGACCTGAACATTCGACGATTGACGAAGAGGTAACCATATATTTCTAGGGATTTTGAAAATCAACAAGTCATGATTTTCGCTATTCCACGGGGTTTGTGTGACAATCACCCGGTGCATTATACTTTTATCAAGTCATCCGAGTAAATTATACAAACTTGCAAACATTAATGAAATCAAAATAAGCAATGTAAATGTGTCCTTGACCGGTATATGCCCAAGTCTGGGGTATTAGAAATAGCAATATATGCATGGTAATTGGCAATTTCTATATCATAATAATTTTTATGCGGACATGAGTTTTCTCTTTTGACATTTGACCTTCAAGTGCATGAAATCTGTTTTTCTGGACAAAAGAAATGATAATATCCGGAAATGCAAAAACCAGACTTAATGGCAGACACCAAAACAATTCATTTGATACTCCCTTTGTTGTTATGAAAGCAATGGCATTAGTGACCGTTTGATTTTCACATAGATCGATCTACATATAAAAGCTGGTAATCTCTAGCGTTATCAAGGAGATGGTTTTTAGCAGATAAGTTGGGGCATATTTGGTAGAGCAGCTAAAATACACTCCCCTGGCCGCTTTGAGTTCGAATTTCGTAAGGAATGTTGAGTTTACCATATGACCTTTGCAGCGTCGATATGACTTCAAACACATCAACAAACAACAATGCATTTGCAAAAATCTAAAAGTTAACTTAATTTGTAAAACATAGTAAGTCACGTACATGTTCCTTTATCGTTTACTGCCCAGCCACGGACACAGCTGGTTCCTCCTGTAATATCACTGGTACTTCCGCTAGTAGTATCGTCCTTGTGAACATCCGCGTTAAAATTATCTTCACCACAGGTAGATGGTGAGTCCTGGGAGTTACATTTGTAGCACTTCAGTCGGCCACAACCAGTTACAACTGAAAATATAAGGGAAATATTTGTAAACACTCAGTTTACGTGCATCACTTATTTTAAATTAAATCGACCCTAGAGGTCTCTTTATGCTGTCAATTAACACGATGAAAAACGTTTCCAGTGAGTGTTTCGATAATGCAATTGATGTAAATATTATGTGTTATAAGATGGCTTCCCATCAGACAAAGATCATGTTTATGACAACAGAGTAAGAGCTTTCTTGCATATCAGACTGGCGTTTCCGTGAGTTTTACCCATGCCGGAAATTTCATCTGGCATGGAGGGTTCCAGATGAGTCGCGGAACGGTTAGGATGACGTCATAAGAAAGTAATTACGGTTGTAATGATATCAATTTTCATTGACAATAAAGATAAAGGATTTAAAATAACATAGACTATGGTAGAATATGCAAGAAAATATATCTCACTTTTGTTTGCGGTTCGGATCGGAATTTCTTGCATAGCAGACTGGCGTTTCCGTGTGTTTTACCCATGCCGGAAATTTCATCTGGCATGGGGGGTGCCAGATGAGTCGCGAGTTGTACAATGGCACGCTCAGGATGACGTCATTTTACCGTTATGAATGAAGTTGCAATTTCATACGCTGTTGTAAGAAAATAGTTACGGCTGTAATGATATAAATTTCCGTTGAAAATAAAGATAAAAAATTTAAATTATAATGGAATATTGTAGAATATGCAAGAAAAAATATCTAACATGTGTTTGCGGTTCGGATAGGAATATTCGTCCCTCGGTAAACGGCCCATGGGCGGTAACTCGGCAAGCCTCGTTACCGCCCAATGGGCGGGTCACCTCGGGACGGATATTCAGGTCCGAACCGTAACATATGACAGATATTATTATTCTTGCATAGCAGACTGGCGTTTCCGTGTGTTTAGCCATGCCGGAAATTTCATCTGGCATGGGGGGTGGGGGGTGCCAGATGAGTCGCGTGCTATACAATGGCACGCTTAGGATGACGTCATTTTACCGTTATGAATGAAGTTGCAATTTCATACGCTGTTGTAAGAAAGTAGTTACGGTTGTAATGATATAAATTTCCGTTGAAAATAAAGATAAAGAATTTAAAATATAATGGAATATTGTAAAATATGCAAGAAAAAATATCTGACATATGTTTGCGGTTTGGATCGGAATATCCGTCCCTCGGTAACCCGCCCATGGGCGGTAACTCGGTAAGCCTCGTTACCGCCCAATGGGCGGGGTCACCTCGGGACGGATATTCCGGTCCGAACCGCAACATATGACAGATATTATTAATCCGTCCCTCGCTCACCCGACCAATGGGCGGGTCACCTCGGGACGGATATTTCGATCTGAACTGCAATATTATTCTAGTATGATGGCTAGTATTGGCGGATAAACCATCGTTACAAACATGCTTATAGCTAGAATATGTTCCAGAATAGCAGAATCTCGATTGGCAGAATATACGAAAAAAAGGTTAACGAGTGCAGAGGAAAATATTATGTGGGGTCTTTATGGGTAAACAGTATTGGTTGCTATTTTCAAATCACCTGGCCATCAACGCTATGGATTCAAACCTCACCATGAATTGTGCAAGAAAGCTGTGTGTTGTGGCAGTCTTACAGAAGTTTGGTGGCCAAACAGGTCTGATATATAACATATAAAACTATATATTTAAGTCAGGAAAACCGCCATTTTGACCTTTACACTGCTGTTTTGTAAAATGGTGATTGTAATTAATTGTGTTAGTAATTAATAAATGTTAATCAATGTTTATAATTAAATACCGTTTTAGTCTGTTTCTACATGTATATACTAAGATCCATTCCTTTAAAGGCCAATACACATGTATTTATATGTGCATTAGTGTCTTAATAATGAACAATTAAATATTAAAATACGTGGCACATTTCTCTTTCATAAAACTTTTTTATTTTTTTATTTAGAAACACTTCAATCAAAAAAAATATTCCCCAAAATTTGCTCAACTGTTTTATAAAGTCATGTACAAATTCTTTATCATAACTAAAGCCGTTTCCTTTCTTAATGGTCATACATTTAATCAATTTTGCTATACTGAAAAATGTAATGACTATATTAAGTGAAATCAAATGACACAGATGACAATCCGAAGTCAAATTAAGAAGAAACAAAAAAATGGCAATATACATGTACATAATAATATGTTTGAAGTAGACGGCGAATAAACAATTAAATAATAAATTCAAACTATGCTCAATATGTTCTTACCTACAACATATATCGACAACAAAACAACACTCATCAATACTTTGGTTAAATCCATTTTGTAGTATATTCACTAACTGAACCTATGAACGCCAGAAGTATGTGTGGTAAATATATAAGCCAGCTTTTCTCTATATATAATAAGTATGTATGCTATAGCCAAGACCATTTAAAATACAGGTAAACCTCGTATACTATGAAACAACATAGCAATGATATTTTTCGTTGTGTGCCTAACGATGCATTTAACATATAATGGTACAGTTAGGTGCGACTAATTACCAAAAGCATCATTGAGCGGTCAAGCTGTATTTGTATTATTATTAGATATAAGTAAAGGTGGATCTGTTTTCTACGGTTATTTTCGCACAGTGACCTTTGTAAATTTTATATAATATTTAAAGAATGTAAAAAGCCTTCAAGATATCTATGTTTTGTTTTGATTATAAGTTCAAAAGTTTATATACATCTCTATAGGTGAGAAATATTTGTTCATTGCAAAATGCATGGTACTAAAGAATGATTTATCAGCTGTTTTTGCACACAACACAAAGTATTCTCCTATATTAAGACGATGTGCTTATGCTGACAGACTCATCATAAAATAAGTCTTCTGTCAATGCTTCCCTCCGATTTGAAAATCAATTTAAAATATCAATATTAATTTACCTTTATGTTTTATTCAATTCATTTAATCATTTTATTGCATTAAGCATTATATGCTTAAAAAAGCATATTCATAACTTTTGTTCCACTGCATTTATGGTTTTCTAATTTCAAAAAGAAAGCCTTTTCACGAGGACTTTATCGTGTTTGGTTTTGAGAAAATTGTAGGTTTGAGACATTAATCATGTTTTCCTGCGATACTGTGTCTTTGAAGTGCATTGCGAATGCTTAACTATTAATTGTGTTTGTTTGTCTGTTTGTTTGTTTTCCCCTTGTTTTCTTTACAAAGAAACTGAGTTGTTTACACTGAAGTACAATACCAAATATATTATTCGATCCAAAGTTTCTACTTTATAATGTCTTCCTCATCGGATTGTAAAAAAATCTTCATTGTGCTAGATTTTTTCTTTTTCTAAAAATGTATACATTTTAATAAATTTAGTTATTTCTTAAATTGTGTAACCTTTTGGTAATATGTATATTATATACATTTATTTGAAAGTATTGACAGGACAAGTGGAGACTTCCGTAAAAATGAACATATATTTCGTTGTTTCGAGTATTTTACTTTCCGTTTCAAACTTAATTTGTATACAGAAATTCACATATATTTGAACAAACTCTGCTTCATTTTTGTTATATAAATATTTATATACATGTATATAAGAGATAGATATGAAAACTTAAACTAGTATATAGAAACTAACTAGTGTTAAGCTTGAGTACGAATATTACGTAGTTTTCCTTTTTTATTGAATATCTACTGCTTTTAGATAAGTCAGTACATAAATTCTATAATCAATAGCTTTGTAATGGACTTTTTAAATTGCTAAATCAGAAGTTTATAGACGTTGTACATAAATAACTTATTGTACTATTATGTAAATGCATTTGTAATAGAAAAGTGCATTTATAACCGGTAGTTTTGAATTAAATAAATTCATTACATCATTCAAATCCTTTTTCACTCTGTCAATATACCGATCAATGCTTCATTCAATATTAAATAGGAATTTAGTACATGTAGATACTTGCGTGTCATTTTTCATATATTTAAAAAGCATCTACTGTAGTAATCTATCCATGAAGAAGATAGATCTATATTATATTCATTTTTAAAAAAAAATGGTAATTCTAACGATGCTCATCGTTTTGATAATATTAAAGGAAGTTAGTCATTTTGTTTTCCACATTTAATTTTTCAATGGACATGTTACTGTAATAACAACGTTTAAACGTTAACGTAGCTTTGACTGGGAAATTCGTTATTTTCTAAGTTACATCTATACTTTAGTATTGCTTCTTTTTTGCAAAGTTTGGTTTCGGTAGATGGGTTTATTTACATGTATATTGAAATTACATGTACATGTTCAAAATGCGATATTATGTTTTTTTCAGATCATGTGAGCAGTTATATTCAAACTACGAATGTTAGGTTAATAGGCACTCACAGGGAAAAGATATTCTGTGTTGTTACATTACATCGGATGTATCTGCCGCTTTCTTAGTATGTCGTTTCATGCGAAGGTGTGTGCAAATAGTTTTTTTTTCAACCAGGATCCTGTCCTGTCTATATAAATACAATGTAGCAAGATATAAAAGGGCACATTGTGCTTCCCTCCCATCAATATCAACCGGAAAAGTCGCCATATGGCCTCGTCTCTAAGGACATGACTTCAAATTTCACAAAGTAATTGACAGACTACATTCACAACATTCAGCTTATGGGGCAGGGGACATATTCAAATGATGGCGCCGTCAATCTTTTTAATAACTCAGACATGGTATTTTGAAGGTATTGGAAACTTCTGATATTTCTTTGTCATTGTAATTCTTTCTTGTTTGTAAGTAGGAAATGAGTAGTATTTTTGGGTTTTTACCCGAAACTAAGCATTTTGGTAGCTATGTGTGTATTTGACAATTGGCGCCAAACAAGTAAGAAAATTTGGATAAATTTTGTGAAAAATCTAAACGTATGACAGACACTTTATTGGTCATTTTTGAAAATGCCATAGCTTGCACTGCGTGTTAGTGATATTTTTATAGGAATCGTGCGGATTCTGCATGAAGATTGCCCATATTGGTATATTTTAGGTGTGATTTTGGCTGGGTAGGGGTAAACATAAATTGCTGTCAGTCATTTTTTATGGAGCAATGCATGCAACTATTATTTTTTTCAATGTATGTCATATATCATTGAATAATGCTGTGCAACTGATTATCTGCCTGTGAAACAGATTTTGAAATATTTGGAATTGTGTTTTTGGCCACACTGAAATACAAAACTGTTCATTTTTAGGTCCCCTGTCCCCTTAGGGGTAATAACTTTGACGTCACTTGTTGATGTTGACATCATTTTAGATATCAACAATCTTTTGTTTATATTTCAGCGAATGATTTGAATTTCAACACGAAAGAAAGACAATATTTTATGTTAACTTTAGTCCTTTCGTAGTTGTTTCCCTTTGTTAAAAACGTTTCTAAAACCTCGTGCAGTCGACTCGGCGGTCTATCTCTAGAAGGTGCCAATTATACTCTGTCATAAGCCTGGGACTAAAGAAGACTTATATGTTTGCGTGACCCTTATTGGTACAAAAACGAAATTCCTTCATTTATTTCAAACTTGAGATATTTTGAACAAATCGAACAACCCCACAATTATGTCATGCATTTTTCCGAATTAGTCCTTTTTAACCCACTCAAAAACATTTTACGAAATAAGGAAACATGTCCAAAATTACCTAAAAGTATCTTCGGGTCAATGGTCAGTAAGTCTTTAGCAATGACTTTGTCATTATATTTTTGTTTTTCAAAATAAGTTCCTATTACACAAAATGCAAAATAAACCGTTTAATTTTCTTGAAAATACTATACGCATATGTGTTTTTAACTCAAGAAGCACAACTCTGTGTTCCATTTAAACACTCGAAAAAGATATCGCAACTACCGATTCTTTTCACTGTCATCAAAGCTTTTTGATCGTCACTTTAAATTTATTTAGAAAACATTTATAGCACATTGTGCGTTCAGCTTTAGGCGTGTACAGTGCACGGTTCAATTCCTGCATCAAATACTGACGTACACCACATACCTGTCAACATAAAAAAGTAAATATTCAGTATTCTCAACAATTAGAATTACCTCGATGACAACAGAAAGACGTACGTTGCCTGATTGGTTATGTTTGTAAGGACAAAATATTTTCAAGAGATATTCTGAAACCACCGACAATCACCTGTTCATTTATAAAATACCAGGAATAGGAGGTGTTAGGAAAGTCCACCGTTCCCATCGTAATCGTTCCGGAAGACCACAGGCTACAAAATATAGTGATGAAACATATCAAACGAAATCCCTTCATGTAAAGGGACGTATTGAAGGAATGATACAAAGTCGTTGAATGTATGGAATTTTTGCCATATTTTGAAACATGTTCCAAATACAAGATCGGTGCCCATATACGACAATGCTAGGCCCTATCAAGAAGTAAGGCTGCAGATTACGAGCAGCGTCTATAACAATATTTCCGTGACCTGCAAGCAGCTCAAACCCACTGAACATTTTCGAGACATTAATACCTTCAGTGTTAGGTCAGAAAATCCTCCTGCAGGTTCTAAATAACGAAAAATTGCAAGGTGTACTTCACTAGGAATGTACAAATTTTGAAAGGCGGGTTGAATCCACACTTTTTAATGGTATATACGTACCAGATCATTCAAGTGGTCGATAACAGCAAGTGGAAGAATTCAGCATCCTTACCAATATTAGATCTAAAATCAGTAGGTGACAGAGATAAAAAGACTTTCAACACTTCGGATGTTGAAGCGTATTTAAGGATATCATTATATAGCGGATTGAAACAAACTTTAATGTGAATAGAATTATCCCCTAAACTTAAGCTGAATACCCTAGACAATAATATTCATCATTTACTTGGGATTTGAATATGCAACACGGTTTCACTGTTCACTTATTTCCAAGAAAACATTCTATGTTTTGAGCAGGCTCTACACTTTAACCTGTAAAAACAATTTAAACAAATGTCAACGAAAGTTATGGAAGAAAATAAACCTGGCCCCGACATTTTGTATTGGTTTTCTGCCCATGCAGATCACAAAAAGCCAATTGATAGAGGCACGGTGGTTCAAACTTCTTATGCTATCACACTTCCATACTGATATCCCTAAAATCTATTGTGGAATGTTTCATACTAGAAGTTGAACAAATTCATTTAGGAAATTCAGAAAGTTGATCACAAAGATCATAGTTCTATGTATAGTAAATAATGGTAACGTTCTTGACCTCTTACATTTCAATTACTCAGAAAGAGGCTGTCAAATAAATTGAAGAGACAGCTTGAATGCATCCTATAGAGAAAAGTTAAGAGATTAAAGTCTAAAAAGGTCATGTTAAAGTGGGTTTAAGTCTGCAACCTAGTATAAGACTATTATAAGGGGAAGTATGTCTTAAAGGTACTCCACTGAGGTTTTTTGACATGATGGAACCGAAAATATTTGTATAAATGGACACAGA